CAATGTAATTTTGTACACAAAAATACAATCCAGGGGAATAATGATCCTGTTTTGTAGAATCAACCAAATTTGATAATATATTTCTTTATCTAATAGAAAGTAATATTCTACAATAGCCCCATCGAACTCCGTTTTACAATGTTTTAATCTCGAACTTTATAATATGTCTTCAAAAATAATACAGTTTCAAACGTTTTTTTTGTATAAATAGGAGTTCGATATGGCCTGTAGGAAGTCTTCTTCTTTCAAATAAAACAAGTTATAAAAATCCGACAATTCTACAAGACCTGAGAATTATTCCGGTGAAGTAATTTTTTTCGATTTAATACACCCTATCAACCCCCTACCCCCTAAATAGGTATCGGGTAGTAGATTAGTGGAAAAGTATTATAATGGAGTTGGCAACTTAAATATAAAATTTAGTTTTCAAATTTTATAGAAAATTGAAGGGACATTTGAAAAACTAGCACTGGGCTTCTTAAATAAGAATTTAAATTTTAGAGGGACATGAATAGAAAAATTTGTTCAATAACAGCTTTTTATATTTTAATTTAAATTTTTTCTAAAAAATGTAATGTTTAGTTTTTATACAAGAGCATAGCTTAGTAATCTTCGTTTGAATACTTTAAGTTGTCTTTTACCTGCATGACTCCTATGATGTTAGTAGTGGTTAAGTATTTTTCTGTTGAAGGACACATTGATCCCCTTCCCCAGAAAAAATTAAACTTAATATTGTTGATGCATTTTTATTTTTGGAAGAAAATACAAAAATATTTTCTATTTTTTCTGTCAGGAATGAAGATTGTAAATGGTTTTAACACGAGTCTATAGGGCTGTAAGGCAAGAAAAACCTGTTAAGACACAAATTAATCATATATACGTAGGTATACCTATTACCTACCTATAGGATTTTAACGATTTTATAATGATTCAGTTCATAAAGATAATGCTTAGCCGCTTAGGTACCTATTAATTGGATCATGGGCGTTCTCACGGGGGGGGGATAGATCCCCCAACGTTCTTTATTTTCTTACATATTAGTAATACACGTTTTGTCTACTTTTGATATAATGATATGTGTTTGTGTTTTAAATATTGACTAGTTATAATTTTTATTTATTTTTTGCTATTTTTCTTTATCGTGATTATTGATTCTTCTAGCCAAAAACAATATTATTATTTATCACTGATAAGGATAACAATATATAAGTTATAATATAACCAGTGACGTACTCCCGTTTGACATCCCCCTACCTCCCATCGACCATATTTTTTTTTCACTTTCATATGAGTATTATTACAATATACGTAGGTAAGATTTTGGTTTTTGGTGTACCTAACTCTAAAATAAATGATCGAAGATACTTGAAATTTTCACTGGTTGTTTATATTATCATTTTCTATACACGATAAAATTTATTATTAATATTATTTGGATTTATTTTGAACTGTTAAGGGACATTTTCGTTTTCCAATTTTGCTTGTTTTTTTTTCTATGAATGTCAATAAAATATTATTTGTTCTGTAAAAAAGCAAGGCTGGTCATTAACGAATTAATAAGTTAAAGTTAAGTTAAAAAGTTAAATTACTTTTAACTAAGTTAATTAACGAGTTACTTTTTTTCTTATGTTATTCAGTAACTTACGAGTTAATTAATTTTATTGCCACGTTAAGTTAATTTTTTTCCTAAGCCACAGGTTTAAAATTAATTCAATTTTGTAAAAATTAATTTTAAGAAAGAGAATCCGATATATTAAATATATTAATTAGTAAATAATAATTATTATATTGCATATTCACAGAAAATATTATTTAACTATAGACGGAAATGTTATAAGGGTTACTGTTAATATTACTTTCTTACAATATTGTATCCCACCTATATTATTTGAAATTTTAAATAAAAATATGGATAACTATTAACTAAGCTAATAGTGACACATCTCATTCAAAATGGAGTCATTTAAATAAATATTTTGAAGAAACGTCGCGAGCCGCGGGTCCATGTACACATAAGTTTATATTATAAGTATAACATTATTAGTATACAAATCAAAAATGTACAGGTTAATAAAAACTTATTTTTAAAAAGAAAAAGATTTATTCTTGTTGGCAATGCACAATATCCTATAAATTGACCAGTTACAGAAGTAGTTAGTAGTGTAAAACGGTAAAGAGAATGGATAGAGATCATGGACTGAAATTTGAAAATATTGTGTTTTGAAATGTTTGGTAAATTATTATGGTTTTATAATGATTATTAAAGTATGAATGTTGAAAAGCTTATAGTTTTTGGTTGTATTATTTTACTTTTGATATTCAAATGATATACCAATTAATACAGCTCACTAGATACTGTCTACTAAAATGGTAAAATGACTACGGAGGGTGTGGGGGGCAGAGCCCCCCCCCCAATAGAAAATTCCTGAGAACGCCACTGAATTGGATTTTGATTAAAGATCATACCCAAATAAATATGATAGGTTGTATTGTTGTAACCTTGTAACTTGTAATGCATCATACTACCATGGAACTCTTGTTATATTCTTTAGACATACCTAGTTATATAGATTGGAAACTGGAAATCCTCTAATGGAGGGTTTGATACAGTATTTATATGCGAGTAGGTACCTATGTCTAAGTACGAACCTATTTCATTACATTTTGAATTGCCAATTGGTATACGAAGTTATTAAGATTGAACAGTCTGGTGTTTTAGTTTTTAAATTACTATATTATACTCAAAGTGAAATTTACAAGAATTATCTAATTTGCTTTTATTTATCTTGTCCAAATTTTTGGTTAAGGTAATATCGTACGCTTATTACTTGTATGTAATGGGCTGCTCTATTAGAATCTTTATTTGACGAAAGTTTGATAATATTAATATATTATATTATAGCAGGTCAGCAGGATCATAGTTGGCAGTCGCTAGAGTTGCATGTGATTAGTAGAGACGTGGAGTGTCCAAGGTATTAGGTACTAAAGAAAAAAGGCAATATAGGTTCTATTGATTTTATAATAGGGAGAAAATCATACGGAAAAACAACAAAAAATTAAGAAAAAACGGGAATTTGTACCTATACGTAAAACTCAAAAACGAATAACACTCAATAACCGTGATACCATGTTACTGCAATTACACAATTATAATGTTACTGTTACTTGAACTTTTCATCAAATATTTATATTAGCATTTTCTATAAATTTTCAAATATTCAAAATATTTTGCCTCATTTTAAACTATCTGTCTGTACTTTTATAGACTGTAGATAGTACCTATAGCATATTGACATAAATATTGTACAATTTACTTTAAATAATTTAAGTATGTAATACATTATACATTTATACAAGCCAATTATCATGTTACAGAGGCATCAACTCTAAGAAGAAAAAAAATGTTACAAATTATCAATCTGATGATAAGTATTTATCAATTGTTATGCATTTTAGTAGATAGTAAAATATATAGTACATTTTTCTTTAGAATATTATGAAAATATGAAATATTATATTAAAGTGTATGAAAATGAAATGTATTACGGTATTTTTATTTTTTTAAGACAGTATCATTAGTTTGATACCCTATAAATTATAATATTATAATATGCGTACCTTTTTTTACCTTGTAGGAACTTTCAACTTACATATATATTTTTTATATTCCAGTAGGAATTTACAAATCACATTATTATATCAATGATATGTAGGAATTAGCGCAGTGGCTTATGCAGAATTCATTTATGGGGGGGGGTTAAACCCTTCCCCCCCCCGTCGGTACGCCAATGAATTAGCGTATGTAATTGTTTACTTGCTACTCTCGTGTAGGAACTTACGATTCCCCGTTTGGCCGCTCGGAGAATATTTGTCTAAGGAACGAATTAGGCTAGTAATGCGCTTGTTGCCAGATTATTCTGGTTTGAAATCATATTACGATGATTTTGAAATCAAAGATATTTTGGAATTTAGGATTAACATTAACTGCTGAATTGTAGTTAATAAAATGAGATAAATGTATAAATAAATTATAGTTTTTTGTTTTGGTAGGTATAAATATTTTTAATTTCAGTTTTAATATTATTCATGGTCAGAAAAAAAAATTACAAACCATAAGACATACATCTATGATACAATAAATTAAGTAGGTACTTAATATTAAGTCGACTTTCAATTATCAAAACATAATACATATTAACCTTTGGATATAGGTAGTTCAATAAATAATAGGTAACACACACTTAATGTACCATATTGTCATGTAACGTAACATATAATAAAATATTTCAATATTAACCTTAGTATAAAGATGTCATTAAAAAAAAATAATAGGTGTATAAAATATAAATCACTATAAAATTGCTTACAAATAAGTGGAAAATAATAAACTTCAAGTTATGAAATTAACGAGTTGTACATTTATATAATATTACATTGTCCATCTAAGTTGCAAAATTCACCTTTATCTACCGGTTACTATATAGGTGATAGATCGTGTATCGTCAATATTCCGCATTATGTGATTACTGATTACACATGGTACATAAAATACATTGTACTAGAACATCATAAAATATATTTTGTATATCAAACTTTGTGGCATAATATGTTCGAAAAATTAATCGGATTCAATGTCCATTCAAGCGTATTTAATACTTCTACACATATAATAATATTATGGATCAGTGCAGCATGGTAATAGTATACATTACACCTAACATAATATCTCTGAGCGCAATGATTCGAAAAATATTCACCACGTTAAAGTGTAGGGTAAAGTTGGTTCAGTGTGTGGAAGTGGTTTGTGTTTCACCCGGATAAGGGTTTGAAAATAAATAGGTAACATAACGAATAGAGTACAGACCGTTGGGTTGGAAAACACGCATCATATTATATGAAAGCAACCGGAAAGTTTACACTTATCTTTCTGGTATAAAAAGCACTCGTCGAGGTCTCCAGATGTGTATTGTGACCTTAGGACATCGTCGTCGATACACAAGATGAATAAGAAGTAAGTTCACGAACTGGGAGCAAAGATTATACTTTGCACATTCGTAATGTTTTTACATTTTTTATACATTCGTACGGTGATGTTCTCGTTATAATATTGTAAAATTATTAATATTTTCGTACACGTATACGAGTATTTTATAATAATATGTATAAATTATATGATTAAATATCGTTAAATTAACACTGTCAATTGGTATAATTTTAGGATTTTATCAATCGTAGTTGGCGTTGTGTTCTTCTTGGCTCTTTCACATTCGAATGCAAACGTGTGCACGATTTCGGAAAATAACTTGTAAGTACTTTTTGATCAGTTATATTATTGTATAAGATAGATCATAATATATACTATATATAACCATTAACTAATCACTCAAATCCATCAGCTAATCCTAAAAAAATAAACACATTTTATATACTTATAGTTTTAACTAGGTACTTTAAGTATGTTTTAAGTAGGTACTTAACGAAATTAATATTAATATGATGTAAATAAAATGAAATATTAAGAATAAAAATTGGAATTTTGTTAAATTAAACATCATAAAATTAAAAACAACAGTTTTATTTAAAATTATATAGATACCTTTCACCTCTCTCACATAGGCACGTAAAATAATACATAATATCTTTTATGTACCTATGTATTCATATTTTATTTTAATTAAGCGTTGTTCGTACTTTCACAAGTATTTATTATTTCTATTCGAACTTATAACTATAATTACATTTAGTAGATTTTTGTATAGTTTTTTTAAGAAGAACCGGCCAGGAACTCGCTTTTACCGTATGTCGGTATATTAGGTTTCCAGTGTACCCTGTCATTGGGTATGTAACAAATCACAACATAGGCATGGATGTGTTAAATATTTTAATTTAATGATAAATAACTGAGCTTAGGACACGGGTGGATCAGCATCTATAAGTGATATATACAGGTATATATTATATGTAAAAAACTGGTATTCCAGACAATACGTATTAATATGACAAATACTGAAATACATATATATATACTTATAAAGCATGACCCGGTCCGGTTAATTTTCGTACGGAAAGGCTAGAACGAACGTATATGACGACTGGATCTTAGTTTATCTTATACAGTTATACTATATTTATATTATTAAAGTCATTATAGTATTAAGTATTTTCTTAATTTAGAAGGTTGGTATAATTTGTGGTAATAAACTGAAATACATTATACCCACATAATATATCTTATAAGTCAACGCCGACGTACAATATAACGGTATAAAATGTAAATAGCTTAAAAATAGTATAAATATTTTGATAATTTCACAGTTTTTAGTACTTTATAGTTTATACTATGTAGTAAACTAGTAAATAATAACATACATATTTACAGAAATGTTTATCGAAAAACATCAAATAAGGAATTGGTGACGATTTCAAACGAGACCGATCAATGCAGATATAATCCTATAGACAACTATTACATTAGAGACACGTACAGGACTAGAAATTTGAACATAAGATCCGAGAGACGTACAATTCGTGTGGATGGGAAAGAGCAAGAACGCAGAGTTTGGGTTAGAATTGACGATATCAGAAAGGGCAGGTTGACAAGATCGGAATCATTGCCAAACATCCGTCGAGAACAAGTTCGGAATGTAAGAGAGAGAGAGATTGACTTAAGAGGTACTCACCAAAGAGCTTTAGAACGGAACAGCAAAAATGTTTTAGAAAATCGTTCGGATGAAAGAATTTTTAGACGTAAAGTAAGGGATAGGCAATACGATATGCAAACAAACAGAGATAATGGTATAGACAGAAGAAGCCGGACACGGAACACCAGACAGGTACTCTTTAGTATTTTTATAAATGTAATAAACTAATTAAAATAATATGTTTACAGAATGATATTGTTGCTATTAAAGACAAAGATGAAGCGTCTTCATGGTATATTTCTTTTAATATTAGCATGCATTATGTCATAATTAAACTTATATATTTTTTAGGCCATTCTCAAACTTTGTTCAGTCAGCAATTGGTGTTCTTGGACTTTACTATTTTGGGATGCATAATAAAAACGTTAAGTAATTACTTAACAAAATATGTTAGTGAATACTTTGTACAAGTATTATAATACAATTATCCAAAAATGTTAATGAAATACTGAATATATGATTACATTTTTCTTTCAAAACAACTATAATTGTGTTTTAATTTATTTTTTAGAACCTTTAGTCAACTATATTAAATTGGTACTATATTATATGATATGAAGTGTTAAGGCTGTTAAGCATAATTTATTATTTAGCAAAAACTACATAAATTCTAATTTCTTTAGAGAAATTTAAGAAAATTTGAACAAATATATTTACATATATTATACAAACTGGCATATCAGGAAAATTTTTTAATTTATAAGCATACAGGCTTAGGTATGTAAATATTAAATGCAATGGTACAACATAAAGTTTAAAAATAAAATGTCTTACTTGATCGTACTTAATCTTTTAATGTGTTCATAACTCATTGGTTCACACACAATGCAAAATTCCTTTTTTAAATGATTGTCATGTCAATACCAATCAAATGTTATATTTTTATATTGTTACTTTTAAATTTGTAAAAATTATCAAGTATTGTTTCTATTTGATCAAGATAATTGCGTATTTGTTTATTTTTTTCCGATAGTTTTATTCTATATTGATTATGTGACTGTTCAATTTCGTCAAGGAGATTACCAATTATGGTATGCAATTGTGATTCTCTAGTCATATTGCGTTCAATTAGTTCATTTAATTGACAACCGTAACTCTTCAAAGTCTCTTCAATCTAAAGTAGAAAATAAAAATTATAATAATAATTGCAATGGTTGATTTTCCTGAACACAGATCTCAAATATCAAAAAGGCGGATAAGTGAGGGCACTCGTAGGTTTCTGCCATGGCCGGTCGGGGGATGGCGCCTCTCTCTAGACAATTTTCTAGAGAGAAAAGCCGCCCAAGGTCGAGATTCAAACTGGCGACGGTAAACATCGAAACCGATGCAGTAGTAACTCGGCAACTCCGCCCCCAAATAAAATAAAATAATATACTCTAAAAGTTGCATATACCACAAATAATATTTTTAAACTACAACAAAATAAATTCCTGGTTTTAGTATTATGTAATTTCGGTAAAAATTAACCATGTTTATATAAGTTTAGAAGATACATCTGCAAATGTGTACATATTTTTATAATCGATTTTGTTTAAAAAAACTTAAATTGCTCATAACTGAAAAAATAAAAAAGTTAGACCCTCTTTCAAAGGGGTCTTTTTCATAACTTAAAGTATCATATGATACCGGATGGTCACTTTCCTACGGAACACATTGTATAATATGTTATTTATTTTTCATGTAAATGGAGAAATTACAAAACAATTAATTACATATAACAATTCGTTAAATTAATATGCTATTTTATTAAATTGCCTATCAACCTAAATTAAAAAATAATTCTTAATATTTCTAAGGAAATATTTAATTAATTAATATGCATGCCATAAGGCAAAACATTTTAAAAATAACATTAAAATTAGACCCACTATAAGGAAATTTAAAGTTTAAAGCATGTTGATAAAAACTGCACACAGTATTACTTATCAAGTCATTTAGTATTTAACTTAACATTTAATTAATTATGAAGTATAAAGAACAATTGATTATTCATGTACTTGCATTTTTTTTTAAAACTGATTCACAATACTGACTTAATTGCTGATATCGATTTTCCAAATTGTGAATTTCTTGATCTTTAAACATGAGATTTTTTTCAAGTTCATTATTTTTCATCTAAAATTTGTTGATGAAATGTAAAAAAAAATAAATATTATATTATTATATGATGTTTCATTTACTTTATAATATTTTAATTCTTCTTCCATTTTTAATTTATTAATTTGGTTCGGTGTTTTCATATTATTAGCAAATTTATCATGTCTGTCACACATAACTTGTAGCCGATTGTGATTTTCCAACATAGATGAGCTCACTTTAAAATGAGATTTTATAATATTTACTTCAGGATCCAGAACCTAAGACATAAATAATAGATATTAAACTTAGTAAACGTACATATAACAAAAGATGAAAAAATGTTACATATTTTATGTATTTTATGAATTAAGTTAAATTTTAAAATGATTATAGTAACCAGAAAACTTATAAAAAATATTATATAATGTCTAGAAAATGCTTTTTTAAATTATTATTGATTTTGTTTATCATTTGGTAGTAAAGGGTCTGTTATGATAATTATCAGAGGTGGGACATAAAAATCCAAAATTTTGATGAGGGCGGTAGTAGAAACGTTTTCACATATTTTCTAAAAACTAGATAAAAATAGTTTATAATTATAAATTATAATGTTCAATGTATATAATTTGCTTAAATATATTTGTATAGAAGTAAAATTAACTGCGGCCACCCGAAAAATATTCAGGGGTAGCATATGCTGCATCCAGTGGTGCCGATGTCTGTTATATATGGTACTGCATATAAATAACATCTGAGATAGGTATAACAGGTACCACCACTATTTTTTTTTCCAAATATACACTTTAACTAAAATATGACACAAATGCCAATTACTTAGACCAAATAGCTACAACTTGTACATCCTTGTGACCTAGTATTACTGTATCCCCGTCCATCTCTGTACCACCCAATTAAATTAGGTATTGGATCCGCAATACTTATGTATAGATATTGGCGCCACTGGCTGCATCTGCTGCTCCCGTGTGCACACCTATGCATCTAAATTAGTCAAGTAAACCCATACATTTAAAAAAATATATTTTTCCACTATTAATTGTGTGTAAGTAGTAAGTACGTACAAAAAAATTTTCAAAATTATACATTCATCTCTCTGTTTAGAATATAAAATAATAACTATTGGAGCAAATGTATTCTATTAATAGACATGTTCACATTTTCAATATACTAATAATAGGTATTGGGTTTTAAAATAGAAAGATTCAGACATTCAATAGACATTAGTTAACATTCACCTCAAAATAATACAAATTACACTTCACCTTGACTAATAATGACCTACATAATATAATATTATTCATCAGTTTAAACACAGATATACCAAATCAATATATTACACATATTAGTATGTACAGTGGACATCTGGTTTCTTGGAATGTGGTTTATTAACTGGTTGTAGGGGTTATTGACACACTCAACTGTCAACATATTATATTCTTCACCTTTTGTTAATGCAATACAGAAATAATTTGTAAAATACATTAACGGTTTTTTCCATAAAATGGCTACACCAATGTCATACTTAAAAATGATTTTTAATATTAATTACATTTAAATACTAGTCAAATGTAAAATACAAAAATGATTTAAATATTATATTTGCTATACAAATAAAAGTATAATAAAAAAAAACCATTCACCCTAAAATATTCACATTTTTTTATAAATGTTAGTTACTCATTAATTTTTTATTAAATATTCTTTTAATAGTCATTAAAAATTAGAAATTATTTCATGTACCATTCTTTTTTGTTAAATTAATACAATCCATTCATATTAGTTGTTTAATGATTTAACTAAAATAGAAATTGCAATTGTTATTGATAACTGTTAGTATGAAAAGATCTATTGTAGATTTTAGAAACACAATTTTATATTATTTTAGTCATTAAAATACAATAGCAATGTACAGTTTACAACAAAAAGATATAAAGTATTCTATTCATGTTTATTTTAGAAGGTAGAAAATTTGGTCAATAACCAGTAGTATTAATAAAATATCAAATAGGTGTGGCTTGGATTGGGATCATAGCACAGTACCGGTTTCTGTATACATTAAAGAGTTCCCTGTGGTCAAGAATCAATTTAGTTTATCCTCATTTAGTTGTTCGAAATGGATGGTTGTTTCAGAGTGCTTTACTGTGTGTTTACACTTTTAGCCATATCAACATTTATAAAATGTTTAGAGAATAATGATCAACATCGAGATGTTGAAGAAAAAATAACTTATAATGGAGACCAAGTACTTAGAGTTGAAACAGTTAACTCTAAACAAAGAAAAAAAATCAAGGAACTAGAAAATCAAGGATGTAAGTAAATCTAGCTTTTCATTAATCAATGTAATTAATGTAATTAATTTAAATAAATTTTTTAGTAATTGAAAAATGGTTTACTAATTCTACATCAGTAGATATAATGGTAAAAAAAGTCAACTCAGAAACTGTAAAAAACACACTGAATAATGGATCATTATCATTTAATATTTTTATTGATGACATACAAAGAGCAATCAACGATGAAAATCCTCCAATAAATGAAGACGAATTAGAACTATCTGGAAGACAAGGTTGCAATTTATGTATAAATAATAACTATGATGTACAAATGATTTAACTTCATACATTTATATAAGTTAATATATTAAATTGTGTTTTAATAATTTATCACAAGTACAATAAATTGTACAAAAGAAACGATGTTCAATTAAAAATGAAAACAATATTATATAGTAATGATTTTAGTTATATTCATAACTAATTATTTGATTTTAGGACATAACTTGACATTTGAACGTTATCATAAGGTAGATGATATATATAAATATATTGATCACTTATCTCAAGAATACCCAGATATAGTAGAAATTGAAACTATTGGTAAATCACATGAGAATGTCCCATTACGAGTAATACGAATTAAGCTAGACCAAAATTCAACTGATACAAAAGCAATATGGATCGATGGAGGGATACATGCACGAGAATGGATCGCAGTGTCCTCAGTGTTATATTTAATAAATGAATTAGTATACAACAGAGATTCATTGGAATTGCATATGAAAAATATTGAATTTCATATAATACCAATTTTAAATCCTGATGGGTCAGTATTAATAATATAATTTAAAATACAATTGTATAGATAATAAAAACATTATTTTTATTTAGTTACAAACATTCTCACGAAAAGGAACGCTTATGGCGAAAAAACCGTAGCAAGCCCTCGGCAAATTCATGTGTAGGAGCAGATCTGAATCGTAACTGGGATTATCACTGGGGTGAGACTGGTGCTAGCAAATATTCATGTGCAGAAATATACCGAGGAGTAAAAGCTAGTTCTGAACGTGAAACCCAAGCCGTGGTTAAGTATATTATGAAAAATCCAAATAAATTTAAAGTAAGTAGTATATTTTTGATTTTTAAATAATAAGTTATAAGTTTTAAATTATTATTTAAAGTTAACTACAACTTATAACTAATAAACTATAAATTTATTTTAGGGATTTCTGACGTTCCATAGTTATGGACAATATATCCTATATCCATGGGGCTATGCCAAACGGGTGCCATCTGATCACACAGAAGTACACCGTGTAGGCCAAGTTATGGCCACAGCTATCAAAAAGGCTACATCAAATGAGTATACTGTTGGAAATAGTGCAACTCTCTTATACCCAGCCGCCGGTACATAACATTGAATAAATATTATTAAGTCTAAGGGTAACACCAATGCCACAATACCCATTATTCTTTTTGGATGGTAGGTGTGGCATCGATGATACATACTATATTTTCCTATATTTCACTAGTCATTACAAGCGGAAATCACTTTAAATTCATGCAAAAAAATATACTATTTTTCATCCACAATTTATAGACTAGACTCTAGTCACTAGAGAGACAACCGTGACACCCATTATTATTTTAGAAATGTATTCATCTTGTTTATACAAATTGATAAATACCAAAACCATTTACAAGATACAAGAGAAATTATTGCACTTGTGTATATACTATAAAAACCATAAATACCTACAGCATATAGTGTATTACTATGAGTAATAACTAGTAAGAACATTTAAAAACAATCCTTGTCACGAACTGTGTTAAAAATAATCTATATAAATTATAAGCCATATATGATCTAATTAGAAATGTGTATAAAAATGGTGGAGATTTTATAAGAATCATAATATTTCTACAATTAAAGTAACATGAATTTCTTATCAATCTATGAGCAGTATGTACTTATAAAAAATATAATATACTTTTAACATTTTTTAGGAGCATCTGATGATTGGGCTAAAGGAGTTGCAAAAATTAAGTATTCTTACACAGTAGAATTGAAAGATACAGGAAAATATGGATTTATCTTACCACCAACTGAAATTTTATCTACTGGAAAAGAAGCATATGCAGCAGTATCAGCCCTAGCTAATGAAATAAGTTCAGAAAAGTATAATAATGTATAAAATTATTAGCTTACCTTTAACTCAGCTGTACATTTTTTTAAAGATGAAGAACAAATATTTTTTCTTTCCTCTTCTTTAATACATTTGTTTATAGCTAATTTTCCTATGAATATAATTAATATTTATTAGTTAAAATTTGATTTATTTGATATCATACAATTATAAAAATATTTTTAATACTAAGACCTAAATAAACCATATATTGAAGGTTGTATAGTAATGTTTTGTTCTTATTATATTTCTGTCCCCAGTCAAAATTTTAATATTCCTACATTCATATAATTTGATTTAACACATTCCATAACCACTAATTTTTTTAAAATTATTTAACTAACCAAAATGTACAATTTAATGGTATTTATAAATGAGAAATAGATGTAAAAATCAAATTATAGAGTGTATCAGTAATTTATAAGAAATGTATAGTAATTAAATAGCTGTAATGTAGGTAACAGCTTACAGATGCAAATGTTTTGATATAAACTAATAATAATTCAACATTTAAAAAATAGAAATATTGAAATAAATGAGCTAGATTTAAAATAATATATAAATTATAAACCTATGTTTTTTATGTGGAATTTAGGTAAATTAGAATAAAAAGGTTTTTTTAAAAAAGAATAGTTAATGATAGGGTCAATCACTGATAAACTTCCTTACAGTTTAGTATATGTTTTGAAACCGTACTTTCTAATACATTTTTAATACAAACCATGGATTTCTGAATGTTTCTCTGGAATCGAAGTACTTTGAGAATTACTATTCAAATTAAAAATAACTTTTTTTGTATCATTCCTTTGGACTTTAGGTTGTGTTGGTATAATTTTAGTATTATTTTGTATACTTTTAAAGTCTTTTGAAGTTATAACTTTATTTGTATAAGTATTTGAAGATGTTTGAAAGTATGGAAGTGTTTCACCAATTATTTTATCAGCTTCAATTAACAAATCATCAATATTTTTACCAGCAGATTCTCCTGAAATCATTCAACAAATAAAATAAAGTTATATTTATATAATGTATAAGTGACCGTAAAATTCAGAACTCATGATTAACCTATAATTTATTAGTAAATGCTAATATTTACTAAACATACTTTGTTTAAATAGGGTTTTTCATGATATTACTTAGAATGATCTGTACACACTAGGATGTACAAAAAACCATGTTAGTAAGATCTGAAAAAATCCATCAAACTTAGAAAACTTATAAAAATAAAATAGCTACTGACTGACAAGTAGAACTTTCAAGATCACAATTATTATAGATTGGCAGTAAGTAGTAACCAGTAGGTACTACGTACTACAGCCAGATATTTTAAGTAACAGCATTGATTATAAATACAGGGAAACTTCCATATTACAAAGTCTCATGGGCAACAAATAAAATTTGTATTATAGAGAATTTGGTTAAATAGAATTAAATAAATTTGATTCAAACTAGGTTTGGTTCATAAATATATTTCATTAAACAGATAATGTTATTAAATGGAAGCTTCACTGTACTAGTATTTAAAATCGATGGTATCACAAATAAGTCCATCAAAATAATGTTATACAATTGATGTGCATGCACATTGTCTTATACATCATTATTCAATTATTGTTATATCAATATTTTATATTGTTTTAGTATGAATAAAGAATATTGATACAAAAATGCTGGGTATTAATAATACTTTTTATTCATCATGAAAAATCAAAAAAATGTAATTAGACTGAGCAAAAAAAATAAGAGCAAAACTGTTTCAAACTCTACTCTCTATGATGGTAATTGGCGAGGTAATTGGTAAAAAATAATAAGAAAAAAAGAACAATTTTTAAAAATTAAAAATATAACTATTAATTGATTATCACAAAAAAAAATTAATAAAAAATTATTATTACCTATTAATCACTGGTAACACTGCAAACCTACAAAAAACCTGATATGTCAAATTGTCTATACATTCACATAAAAAAATGCTTCATTCTCATTCCTATACAAAATATTTTATAAATCATTTGGCATTCATTATAATATAATAAGAAAGTTTAAAAAAATTAAACTAATGATAACCGAAGTTGAATTGAAGTATGTTATGTATAAGTCGATTTAAGATATTTTATTTTCAATGTCCAATAACTAGCTCTAAAACTTGTGAAATTTTACTTTTTGAATTTGAATTATTGAGTTTAGTAATTAAAATATTGAAAATTTACTTTTATACAGGCTCAGATTGGCTTCTCCTCTACAATACAAATAGTAGGTGTTTTTACTCAAACCACTCAATAAACCATACTATTGGAAGTACCAAAATTAATTTTCATAGCGTTTTTCCATACTATTGATATTTGATATCCCCTTAATATTTTTTAATTTTCATAATCAATTATATATTTTTATTTTTTAAAAATAGTTTAGTTTTTCCTAGGTCTTTTTTTCTGGGATTCCTCTATGACAGGTACACTAAAACTATTAGTACCTATTACTTAGCATTGGTAAACTAATTTACTAAGTAGCTAAACTAATTTTTCCAGTGAAAAATGAAAAATGGATATAAAGATATTATACATTATGTTTAAATTAGTTATTTAGTATTTAATATTACTAAAATAGTTGGTATAATTATTGAAATAATTTGAACGGGATTTAGTTACCTATAATGTCTTGGATATTAGAGTCCTCTCTACCAGACAATAACAACTGTTCCATCTCAGAAATTAAAGAGTCCATGTCGTCTTATGAAAAGAAAAAAATAACTAAAAAGTAATAACTATTATTGCAGATTGCAGACGATTCAATTTTAAATTTATATATATGTATTATGTGTTAATATGTATTGATATTATAGAAATAATTATTGTAATAACACAGTAATAACCATGAACTAAGATAATATGGACTGGCAACGACGGTAAAATATGCGGTCAGGTTTTAATACGGACTTTTTGTGGTGGGAGAAATTGTGAAGCTGAAGCGACATCTGTTGGACAAAAACAAAAATAAGTTTCAAATAACATGACTGAACATGTAGAATATTGCAAATAACTTGTTAAAAACTGTATTAAACTTGTCATGAAATTATAATAAAACACATTTTGAAAGACTTATATTTTGTTCTTATTACTTATTAGTATACACTTGCCCCTTAGTAGTTAGTAGTATAAGGTATTCATTTTTAAAAATGTCCAGAAAGTGTTGTATAATTAGTTGCAAAAGTTTTGATGGGGAATGCAGCTTTTTTAGTATTCCTAAGGCATCGTTTTCTTCTTGGACAGAAATTATTAAATCAATTAATGGATGCGATACCAAAATTAAGTTTATTTGTGAAAAACATTTTCTCCCTAAAGATATAGTAAAAACTTATGCTGGTGTTGAGGTATTGTACATATTATAATTAGAGTAAATATTAATTAAATTTTAAAATAAACAATATTTTAAAAACATAGTTGGTAAAATTTAAGAGGATGTCAGCGCAATTTTGTTTTCTCTCTCTGGCCCACGTGCAACATAAACAAAACCCAATTTTGCAGAATCATTTTTTTTTATGTTTTTAAGCAATGTGCGATTTAAGCGAAAGGTGCAGTTCCTCAAATTTTTGATACGGTTGCACATGGAATTGTTAATGCTGAGGTAAAATAAATGTGGTACATTTTGGTAGTTAACAATAAATATGTTAAAACTGATAACCAACCAAAAATATAATTTAATAGCAATCTAATAATAAAAGTTCAATACTATTTTGTAATCAATATGTTAAATATTCATGTTCAATATTTGGTAGGTAAAACTGAATTGAATTAGTTGCACAGCTGTAAAAATTGAATAGGTATTTAATAGACTCTGACTCTGTAATATACATACTATATTAGTAGGTACATTTATATCATAGAATAGATGAAAGTTTAAAAAAATACACACTACACTATCAACAGACAACAAGCAAAAAATTAATATATAAAAATTATTAGGTAGTACTGTAGTAGGCAGTGCCCAGTAGGTATAATAAACGAGAAACATAATATAAAGAATATGAAATATATGAAATATATATTTACTATAAAGTATAATTACTATAAATTTTAAAAATATTTTGTAAAACAAGTAACAACGGTCCACGAATCCACGATATACATATTATACCTACGATACTACGATAGTTACAAAAAACAACACAAGGATCGCCCCAATCCGATAAATTCCCCCTCTTAGAAAACCACGTATTAAAACTTGACCGCACCGCTACCATCCGCCAGCCCAACCGTTACCAGTCCATATTATCTTAGTTCATGGTAATAACACAGACTATATGAAAGTCTGTGGTAATAATGATAATAAATGTTATCATATTTTATGTGCTTATCACCATGACAAAATAGTCTAATCTAGGCTCTTCCAGCATAGAATTCTGTTGTTCCAGTAACTTTGGGAATTGGGATAATGTAACAAAATTGTCCTTTCACTAGGACAAGTAACAAGATGTGTAAATAACGATTTATTATCTATGGATATGTTCGGAGTATGATTTTATTTTAATTGTTTACCTTTACATCCTTTATCTGAAATAGGGGACAACATTTTTTTTTAATTTCATATTAAATATAACAATGATGAATTTGAGAATAACAAAAATTGTTAAAAAAAAAAAGCGGGGAGCATTAGCCCCTTGGATACCTACGCACCATATTTCACCCTCTGCGTCAAAGGTCACGTCTATGGCCTTAGTAGGATATTAAGTATAATAACCCTGAAACTTAGTGACATTTTTATTTTATTTCCTATACCTATGGTCTATGGATATAATAATATTATACCTATACATTATCATTGAAAAATAACTATTGATATCACGAACTAAGATCGTGATTGATATATCGGATTATATCCTCAATACAGTTTTAAACGTCGTAAACTACACGTTATTTAAAATACATATTAGTAATATAGCCTTATCAATAACTATAGTCTTTGACTACGTATAATATACTTAGAAATTCCAAAAACCAGAGTTTTAATAAATCTTTAACTAGCATTCAAATTGGGCGAGTATGCAATAGCTTTGTTCGTTTTAAAAACTAAATGTTAACACTATAGTGTAGAAGTGTTGGGTCTTGGGTATGGTGTGTGGTGTGCCAATTTAAAACAAACGTTTCAGGTGTGAGAGTCGGCTCATTGATAAAGATAGTAATTAAATGATAATTGATAACAACTTATAAAATTTTCAATCATCTAAAATTCCAATAATTGAAATAAGAAATTAGAAATTATTTCTAAATAGTTGTAATTGTAATAACAGATTAATAGATTTTAAAATTATGGATGATATTTATATGCAGTTTTTTTGATTCGTCATCAGACTGTTTTAGAACCAGTTAGTGATGCACGTAAAGTTCCTGCCACTGTTTTTTGATCTAATGATGATGAAGGTATATAAATCAATACATAATTATTCATTTATAGTGCTTTATTTAAATTATAAATACGAATGTATAAACTAAACTCGGCAGTCAGCATGTAGCGAGTGATAAGGAAATATATTTATGATAATAACTGGCTCCACACCAAAATTCAAGTACGACACCTGCACTTTAGTTGGTGTGGATAGTGTACACACCAAACCCACACTATTTCAAAACAAACAGTGTGTACGCTAACACTTTTCTAAAACAAACGCTTCAGGTGTACACTATTATGAAAAAGTGTACACTTTTTGTCAAAACGAACAAAGCTAATAAGTAGGTACACTATAAGTTCTCAAATTATTTACAACAAAACCTATAACTGAAAGCAGGCGTCGAAGACAAAGCATTTAGGTAAAAGTTATAGGTCTTCCGTAGTTCAGTATCACGTTTACAGAATACTAAAAGCATTTTTACATTTTCTGATTACCTATTTCGTGGAGGATGAGGACGTCACAGGCGTCTCAAACTCCCAGCCACTCTTGGGTTTTCGCCTATACATACACAAAAAATGTAATTAACGTGCCTGGGTCTATTTTACGTAACTGCCCCACGGGTTATTTAAGTTATATATTTTGGTGAGGGCTGTTACACTCCCAGAATTGTATCCCTGATTAGGTACGCCTATGGTAATATACAGTCAACTTGCGGTATAACGAAGTTCGATATAACGAAAATCTTGGTAGAACGAATAAACCTGTCGTTCCCTTGAAAATCACGTGATATAACGAAAAATTCATAGAGTATATTATACTCTATGGAAAAATTAAATGTATTTTTGTCCCCTCTATATAACGAAGTTTTTTTAGGCAAAAGTTCCCGCAATGTAACGAATTTTTATAACTTTGGAGATTGATGTTACAAATTATACGAGTTTGTTTCGGCTATATTATTATACGATAAGATAATGTTCATGTCATTTTAAATTTTAATGTTCTGCAGTATCGAAAAGAAATTGTTTCTGAATTTTTGGCCTGCTTGGATAATAATGATTTTCCGAAAGTAACCATTTTGATTGCTATAACTATGAGAAATAAAGCTTGGAACAATGTGACTGGACAAACAAATCGTAACTGTTTTAGAACGTGTGGATTTGTGAAAGCTATTGACAGAGTCACAGAGAAGAGGACGAAGCCCTTGCCACTTTAGAAGTTGACAGCAAATGACAGATTATCTACTGTTCCAGTCGAGCAGTTATCAACGTTTGATTATACAAATCTAATAAAACCTAAATTTATTTTATTTTAAATCTCGTTTAAACGAATGTCGTTGATTTATGCTTTTGATATAACGAATTTCGGTGTAACGAACTTTCGATGTACCGAATTTTTTTCTCAATCCCTTGAAATTCGTTATATCGCGAGTTGACTGTAGTATCCTTTAATATTTAATATTATATTATATATTTATATAGGTATTCGATTAGGTACATAAAATATTATTATAAATTAGTAATAAATTGTATATATTATATTGTCAATGCATATAATATCATAAAATAAATTAGGTATTATATTGAAATAATAATTATCCATCTGAATAAGGTTTTTAATTCATTTTATGCATTCTTTCAAAAAAAAAAAAGATATTTTTAGAAAAATATTAATGTTATTAGGTAGGTATATTACAGGTATATGCTTTATAACCGAATTATAATATACAGACAATAAACTTAGGTACTGACAATAGTGTTCAATAATCAACAGACAATAAGTTATCGTCATCCGTCGATAAAACGTTTGTTACCTACTTACCTACATATTTTTTTATACATATATAGCAAATGCCAACAAAATTTGTATTTGCACGATTATATATTTATATAATTATATAATATAATGGAAAATGTATAACTGTATAAGATATAAGTGTTTTAGTATAACAACGCACACATAATATAGGTACAGTTATCATATTATTAGGGACTGTAACGATTCACAGATTACTGACTCGTCATTTATGTCGTACTCGGTGAATTTGCTTAGATAGACAGAACACAGGAACGTAGAGTACGAGCCTATACATTATTTGCATAGCCAGTTAGTTGAGTTAGAATCGCGAAGTAGAGGCTATATCGGTCTGCGATCATATCTACAATATGTTAATTACAATAAATTAATATTGCTTCTACTCGTACTCCTCTACTCCTGTGATCTTCAATAAACTACCCTCAACAACAGGGTTACTCAGGTTTAGTGTACTGTATAATAATATAACTATTTTATACATTTAATAAATTATTGTATACGTTGCTAAGTCGTGTCCGATTGTGTTAGTTTATGAAAGCAAGTCATAAGTTTCTAGGACCTGTAAAATATAACTCAGAAAACTTTATTTATATCAGTCCAACAACCCGATTCTCAATACCGGTTCGTGTAGAAGGAATAGCCAACCATCTACTCCTTAACTAGGTAGGATTAGGTATACATATCAACAGCCTGCACTTGGTTCATATAACCAAGGAGCCAGGAGGTGTGTTGCAGGACATAATATGGTAAATTAATACAAGTAATTTAGTTTCATAAATTAAATTCATTAACTAAAAAAAGTTTTGGGAGGGGGGGTTGAAACTTGTAATAATTAAATAATTAATACTTATATAACTCACTCAGACACCGGATTTATATGCGCTTAAAATCTTAAAATGAAGATGTATTTGTATGCTTTAAAATTTCATCAAAATAATCTTTTATATGCATAAATGCGCATAATAAATAGTTTTTAAAAATTATAAAATAGTTAAATTAATCCTAATCTTTGAAAAATTATTCAAACAGTCATATTTAGTTAAGCGGACTCGATTCGCTTTCTCCCGTTTCGACTACCTACGTTTCTTAACGTGAACAGAGTATAGTCATTACTCATTCTCCTCGAATTGAATATCTCATCAATATTGCTTTGTGTCTTTTCGTCTTGATAAGGGTATATAGAAACTGACGGAGGTCAAAAATATTTTTCATTTTTTTATCAACCATTATATTTTTTATAAAATGCTCAAATTAAACCCCAATATGATAATATATTCCTATAACATATTATTTTGCAAAAAACATTCTTTAACCTTGAAATATGCTTTTTTTATGCGCTAAAAAATGTTGTAGGTACCTACCTATACAAGTTCATGAGAAAATCAATCGTCGAGGAAGCGTATACAATTGGAGATGAACTTTTAGTAAAAATATGTAAAACTTAAAAATCTAGTCTCTACCGGAGTTATAACTTATAAGTGGCAAAGAGTATAGGTATTAATATTTAATGTATTATATAGGCTATAGCAATAAAATAACAAGGTTATGAAGTGAAAAGACTTAGTTATTAAATAGACTTATTTAGACTTTAACAGGTAAATCTAAACAACAATTTTGTTATTTTTGGCCCATTTCTTCATCATTTTAATCATTTGTTCAACTTGAGAATTTGCCGAATTTCTTAATAAATGTATGACATCAGCTATCTGATCTCTATATTAAAATAAAAATGTTATTAACGGTTGTAGGTAGTGATTTCGAAACGATTGCACTGTAACGTTTTTACCCGTGGTGAAATTGTTATGATGGGGGGTTTCAGACGATTCAGATTTCAGGGGGTCTCTTTAATTTCGTCACTGGTATTTACATTAACGTACAAGGTTTATTAAAATGTTATAAAATAAATTCAGGCAAATTAAACTCACTGTGGTTGATTACCAAGCACAATTTGCTGAAATATGCCAGCACAAGCACCACGTTTTCCCTCCCAATATTCAGGTAACAAATCTAATCTTTCAAGCATATCAAATGCTTTTGCTGATTGCCAAAACTGATTAGTCTTATAACAATCGTTTGCAATCGACTGCAATATTATCAATGAATCTTGTGAATTTTCAATTTTCAAATATAAATCCCAAGCTGACTGTGGCTTTTTATTCATAATAACTAAAAAAAAATTAGAATATTACAAATAAACAATAATATTTAAATCTAAATAGGTAACTAATACCAAAGTGGTTAAATAAAATATTTAAATATTTAATCTTATATAGACATGATATTATATGCATCAAGGTTAAAGCATTTTATTTCCAGACATATTGTTGAGGGTTCCCAAATTAAAAAAGCAACCACATCGGGTATAGATTATAGCCTATAAAATTGATTAAATATACATTACCTACCTATATTAATATTATAAATATTCCTAGTGTAAAAACATTTTTCTTTTTTTTTATATCAGCCCCTAGACCTAGATAAACTAGATCACCCGCCCACTCTAGAGTTTAAATTTAAAACATCCCTCGAATAGTCGAATTACAATTGTTATGCAAAACCACCCCAAGATGAGTCACTGAATAAAATTAATATTTTTTTTTTGCACTTAGAGACGGGACAATTACTTAATAACCATTTATTTGTGTGAGTACAAAATGTCTTAACTCTAAATATTATCGTGTTCAGCATAGGTACCTAATATAGGCATGAGTTGATCAAAACATTTTATTGAATACTTACAACAATGTGTTAAATGGTTTATGTAAATAAAACTATCACGTATTTTGTTGCTTTTTACTTGTAAATACATCTCTTCTGCTTCCTTGTACTCACCTAGTGATAATTTAACCTATATATAAGTTATATAAAAGTTATTTGTTATTGTTTATTCAGACATTTAGTTCATATATATTAGATAATAGTTGATAAAAATACCTGAGCAAAATTAAAATTAAAACTATCGTCATTTGAGAAATAGCTCTTTATTGAACTTAGATATAAGCTAACTTCGTCATAACGCCCTTCTAAAAATAAAGAAGAAGCCATGCATTGTCGGCCTGGTATTGTGTCACATTCACTGGAACTACTTCCTACCATATTAAATAAGCTCTGTCCATTATCAATTTGCTTAGTCTACAAATAAAAACAAAAAATACAACACCTTAAGTATTTTTTTAATAATTTGTTAATAATAATTTTCTTTTTTTACATCTCCTTTTTCTTGACCAACAACTACGTTAACAATAGCTTTTAAGATATATTCTTGAGGAATAGCCGGTTCCAAATCTTTGATTAATTCGTAGGCTTCTTCATTCTCGCCTTGTCTTAAATAATAAATTACCAAATTAAGACGGGCTTCTGGGAGAATATCAACAAGAGCTGGCAAAACTTGTAAAGCTCCTTCTCCTTCACGAAAAACAACCATATTGTGTTTAATCAAATCTTCACAAAACTTAAATGTTGATGATCTTCTCGCCTTTAATCATTTTTTTGTATTAAGCAACAAAATTATTAATATTTTTGTAAATAATAATTTTTTAAGGAACACGAAAAATAAGTTCATTAACTTGTTAGTTGAAGTTGCTGAATTTAACTTACGATAATATTTTTTAATTCCGATTCGGCAGCTTTACCATCGTATAATTTATACAAATTGCAAGCTTTTAAATTAGTTAATATCATAGAATCTGGATATTTTTTGATATAAACATCTAAAATTTCTTGAGAGACATCATAAAAGTCTAATTTATAATAACAAAGAGCCATATAAACATTCAGCGCCAAAAAATGTCTGTATATAATATATAATAAATGTAAATATTAATTAATTATTAAACTATAAGTAAACTAATCCCCGAACTAAAGTCTGACGAAAAAAAGTCCCAAATTGAATAATTATTAAGACAAGTCACTTAATATTTGGTTAGGTCTAAGGACTAAGGTCTAACTAATAACCATATTATATTATATGTTATAGATTATCACTTTATTTGGAAATTCTTAAATTACACATTTATTTCCACTAATCTTTACTTAGGTCTAAGGCAGTGGCGGCGCCAGGGGTGGGCCAGGGTGGGCCCGGGCCCACCTTAAAAAGTCTCCGGCCCCCCCTGTGGCCCACCCCAAAAATTAAATTTAATCATATTAAAATAATAAAAAATATCTCATGAATAAATCATGATTTATTAAAATATGAAAATATTAAGTCATAATAGATGGCGTGAACAACATTTTGAATGGGTTGAAAACTATATGCACTATGCACTATGCTTTCAAGCCTCATAAATAACGTGTATTTTCCAGCGGCTGAATACGAAAATAATAAATTATTATTAAATATTCATTGGTATTGAGTGTAATTATGGGTTAGGGAGCATAAAAATCAAAAAGTGTTTACATGAATATATATTTTGTTAGCAAATAAATACTATTAATAGTTAATACAATACATGTTTACAAATCATTGCTTTAGTAAATTTACACGATGAAGTGTAAAAAAAATTGGAAGTTGACCCTCCCCCTCACCCCTCTGAGAAATTGCCTGTCATCACTATTGTTTATATATACAGTGTGTAAACGGTAATCGAGAACACTCAATATCTTTGCGTAGAGACCTGCTATTTGAATTCCGTTTTTTTGGCAGTTGTTATGACATAAAAATACACATTTTTATGGTCTTTGAGTTTTTTTTACTTAACTAGTCACGCGCATGCGCATGTCAACTTTTTTTTTTAAATGGCAACCCCCTACTTTAACCACTAATTATTTTTTGCCTATTTTTTTAATGAATTTTGGTAGTTGAATCAACTTTCTAAGTCCAAAATTGATCAAGTTACAGCCAATCAAAAAAAGAAAAAAATTAGAAAAAAAAATGCGCTCAAATTTCAGCTTTTTGATTGGAACTCAGAAAATAATTATTTTAGGATTGTTAAACATTGACATTTTTGTAACTATTTATTACGGTGATATTCATACGTTATTTTAACTTCAATTACTGAATAATTTTCTCTTTAATTTGTGTAATAAATCATATAACTTATTATAGCAGAAAAAACGTAAATTAGTATGTTGTTTATTTCTTTGAATATCACCGTAATAAATAGTTACAAAAATGTCAATGTTTAACAATCCTAAAATTATTATTTTCAGAGTTACAATCAAAAAGCTGAAATTTGAGCGCATTTTTTTTCAAATTTTTTCTTTTTTTGATTGGCTGTAACTTGGTCAATTTTGGACTTAGAAAGTTGATTCAACTACAAAAATTCATTAAAAAAATAGGCAAAAAATAATTAGTGGTTAAAGTAGGGGGTTGCCATTTAAAAAAAAAAAGTTGACATGCGCATGCGCGTGACTAGTTAAGTAAAAAAAACTCAAAGACCATAAAAATGTGTATTTTTATGTCATAACAACTGCCAAAAAAACGGAATTCAAATAGCAGGTCTCTACGCAAAGATATTGAGTGTTCTCGATTACCGTTTACACACTGTATATATATCAAGTCAACAATTTGGCCCTCCCTAAAAAATTTGGGCCCCAGCCTGGCCCACCTGGTATTAAAGTTCTGGCGCCGCCACTGGTCTAAGGTCTAACCATATTATCCCAACTAGCACCAAAGTGTTCATAGCTTATGAAATGAATATTCATCTTGTTCTGCAAACAGAATATTCATATCTTATTTTTGAATGGTCTATCATTCTTCTATCAATCTGATTCCAACCAGATGTGTCATTAACATTGATTGGTTGAACACATCATTGAACATAATTATATATATTTTTTTTTTATTATTATTGTATTTTTGGAATATTTATAAGAATTCATTAACAACATTAAACATCAAGCATTAAAAACTCTGAGTTAAGTGTCGAAGAGTTTTTATTTAATTTTTTAATTTTATAAAATATAATTTATGTAATATTTTTGATGTAGTATAGGTAATTAATATAAATTTTAATATTTTAAACTTGTACAGTGGAACCTCGATTATCTGGGGTAATGGTGGGGAGGGGGTCACACGGATAAATGAAAACCACGGTTAATCGAGACTTTTTATAATATTGAAATTTTTTATTTAATTATGATTAGAAATACATAGGTACAATTTTATTCGTTAGTCGCCCTAGTGTATATTACGTCGTTCGTCGCAGGCGTCTTTTTGACCTCGTTATAATTTTTAAGAATATAATTGTGATATCTCGGTGGTATGAGTACTTTTCGAAATTGTTTGATTAAATATTATGATATTTTTATTTTTATAATTGACTGCTGCTGTTATTATTGTGATTATAAGGTAAACGATAGCAATATTACCACTATAGGGATGGCAAAAAATGGCAAAATAACGATATATCGAAAAAACAAAATTAAAATAATTAATTAAAAAAAATAATAAAATTAAGGCAAATCGTCCCTGTCAATGAAGTGGGTTGAATTTAGTTCAATTTGTGATTGATGTAGCAACGCATAAGGGCCACGAATCGTGACAAACCTAGGACTTTGGAGAAATTTAAAACTATATTGTGGCGATGGAAATCATGACAATCAGGCACGGATGGCGTTGGAGGTAACTGCTATCGTGCAGGACGACAATTTCGGTGATTGTTTAATCACTATTATAGTCCTCGTACAAATTTCGAATTCACGTGTCACGTGATATACGTGTTTATTCAAAATAATAAAATATATATCCGTGTCACGGATACACGGGTGCAAAAAACACTTGTTCCATTGAGACCTCTAATATTTACAGTCCATACTTATTTTTAAATTTTTGGAAGAGTGAGCACGATTAATCGCGAATACGGATAACCGAGTCATGGATAATCGAGGTTCTACTGTATTGTATTGTTACTGTGTATTTAGTGTGTACCTAATATAAATATACATTTTTACCGGACCTTTATTCCGGCTGACTTTTTTTCGCCGGACTTTTAAGTACAATACCCGAGTACCTATACTTCCAGTGGCTGGTTTAGCTTGCTCCCGAATTTAGATGTAGTATACCACCAAATATATACTCTGGTCCAAATAAGATCGCACTGCTTCGGGGTCTTTCAAGTCTAACCTCGTACTACTAAACCCTTAAAATGGTGTGAAGATTCACTCACTGCATATAAACAAGGTGACCAGCTGCTGCCGGAACAGACAGTGAAAGAAAACTACCATGCTCGAGTTTCGAGCGGTTTTCGTCCTCCACCCGGTGCGCTCTTATTTGGACCAGAGTATAGAATCTTTAATAATAACATTGTATATTGTAAATGAACATTTCAATTTTGGCCCCTGGGACTGAATTTTAAAATTGGACGGAGAAGGCGAAAATGTTATATTATTACATAATGTTTTCTTTTATTTTAGTAGGTATGATCTTTCCATGTGGATGTCAGTATTTGGTCCATTCCCAGTTATTTGGTTGAATTTGGTTAGAGGTTTTACTGTTCAGTTATAGTAGAAGAAAATCTTATTGGTTTGAAGTGAAATTTACTTGAATTGAATTATTGATTTGGTTTTATTTAGTTTGATTTTCTATTACTTAGTCAAGTGGTTGAAATAAGGGTTGGACACAATGTTTTCGGTTTTTTTTAAGCGCCCACTCCCTCCACTACCTATATGTATTTAGTATTTACAGTCTGTATTCGGTGTGAGTTATGGAGAATGTGGTGAGGTAAGGATTGATCTGGATTCGTCCCTGATTGGCTCTCCTTAAGGCTTAAACTAGCGATTTAGGTAATTTAATTCAAATTGTATCATATTTTTATTTGAATGATAAATTGGGTGACAGTTATTTAAGTGCTTATTCAAGCTTATTGATATACAGAAATTATTTACGGTAGTGAAACTTCATGTTGTAGCGTGTTACAAGTATGGGGACCAGATACATAATCTATGGATTGTGGAATGAGGTATAAAACATTTAATTATTTAAACCTTATTTTACTACATTGAAACTATTATTAAGATTTAATTTATATTTACCGATTATTGATCATTAACTTTTTATATATATCAATAGCTTCTTGATAATGTGATCTAAGATAATGTATAGCTGCTAATGATAGTTGATCCTCAACGACATCTGCTAAAAGTTCATGATACTCCATGAGCTTTTTTTCGTCACCTTGTTTATGTGACAAATGAAATTGCAATCGAATTTTTACGTCGGAAATATCGGATTTGTCTAATACCTTATAGTAATGTGCAACAATTATTATTTTAATGGTTCGTATAATCTATGCTAATATATATTACATCTTCAGCTTCTGGGTACATGCCTAAATAAAAATAGCAACATGCCAAATTGACAAACAAATGTTTTATTCCTGAATTTTTGCAATGATTTTTGTAAATTAACATCGCGTTGTTATAATCACCTAAATGAAAATAACAATACGCTAGCCATAGTTCTAATTCCACATCTTCTTTTGATTTTTCTATATCAAACTAAAAAAAAAAACGAATTAGTTAATAATTTGTCAGATATTATACAACTATTATAGTATAAGAATAGAATTTTAAAATTGTCATTATAAAGAAATTTGTTAGAATATCGCATAATATGCAATATGCATAAATTATAGGTATTTTCTTCTTCTGGTTGAAAAGGCCTTTCAATAAATTATAGGTATATATACATGAATACCTATTAGATAGTGTATATGGTGTACCTAATGTAACTCATATTATTATGTTAGGTATAATTTTTATATTATAATTTATAATAGCGCTGGGTATGTGTAGGCCTATTGCCTATATTGATTGAACATTATTATTAATTGTCGTATTTCCAGGCCTTAGTTTGAAAATATTTTTAATTGATAATATTTTATGTATGCGTTCATTTGATTTTATTCTAATGAATAGGGTTAACTAAATTACCATTCAAGTGATTAAAATGTATTAAAAATGTATACCAACTTTTAAAATAGTTAAAGCACCAGTGTAGTCCCTTTTCTCTATGAAATCCTTAGCGGTTATCTTATGATTTGTCGGTTTAGTTTTCTCTAACTGCTGTTCTACAGCTGGTTTTACACGTGATAGAATCTAAGTAAAAAAATATCACACCATACCCATATAAAATACTGCAAGTCAAAAAAATATCAAAAACCATCTAGTGCGTAATATACTACTATACTTATAGCCTTATAGCATTGGTGAGTGTAATAGGTGAATACATATTTTTTTTATTTGTGATCTTACCATATTTGAAGTGTGTATTGGGTATTAGCTAGTCCGCCGCTAGTATATTAGATACCTATATAATATACTTATATTAATAATTAGTAATTATTACATGTGGAAAATGCGTAGGGACCTACCTTCGGATTCAGCCATTCAGGTACCTTTTTACATTCTAAAAGTTGGTATTGTCTAAATAAATTAACTATGTCCCTTAAAATACCAACTATTGTGCACTTATGTGAACTTGCATATTATTGTTGTGGTTTCCACGTCAATACTTATATCCATAGCAACTTAGGTAGGAGCTGGTAGATACCTACTACCTACAGTAGCGTATCTAGGATTTTTTCAAGGGGGGGATATACAATTTTTAATACAAATTCAGTATACATATATTATATACATATTATTATATGCAATATGTTATATTATTGTGTACAAAATTTTATCTCCGGGAGGGGGGTATGACCCCATATATTACCCCCCCCCGTAGATATGCCATTGACTACCTATATAATATATTCGATGTAGTCTGCACGGACGCCATTTACGTTCTATCTAACTTCTAAAAGTATATTTTGGGTCTTGGTGGACCAAGCACATATTTTAATATACCTAGCCAAGTAGCCAACATTTTAACAGGCAATTTTTATATCAAAACAAAATATTTCCTTTTATTCAATTTGTTTTTATGATTTATTAGCCAGGTGCGCACGAGTATTCTAGATAAGTTGAAAATTTTGAAAAACCTATTTTAATTTTGAAAAAATATTGTGAAGCCTACCTACTTAACTACAGTTGTATATATTTTTTTTTATTCAAAAGAATATTTACAATCTATACTAATATATTATAGTAGCATAATAAAACTATATAAAAAAAATTAATGTTTATTGTTTGGGTACCTACATGGCTACATTGTATGACGTATATTCATCGTATTGTGTGCATTTGTATCTCGTAGGTAGGTACATATAAAACATGACGTTTATGTCCAGGCGTGTGACGTGCTCACAGCTCCCAATATACTTATATGTATTTGGTATTGCCATTAATACTAGTACCTATATTTATAATCAATATGGTATTAATATATTATAATAGTATAAATTACAGATTACTATACATAGTCGTCCTAGTCTATATTATGAGTCATGACTAGGTATAGAAATATTGTAATTGTTAATATATAATATTATAACATAATACCAATATTTGTTGTAACAAATGTAAATTATACAAATTACAACAATGACACATACGAAAAATATTTACTACAATTCTATTATATTATTCAAGCCCAGTTTATGTGTGTGAGGGGGGCATTAATTTTAATTAATAACTATATGCCCACTTACTTACAGAACTTATAGGCGTATAATAGTATTCATAATATATCAATTTATAATATAGCCTATATAGGTACCTACCGCCATATCCGTGCGGCGTTGCTCGGTATATTGGCTTAGTTTTAGGGTCTATTATGCTATAATTTGCAATTGTATGCTTTTACAAGTATAATACTTAATTGTAAAATAAAAATTCTATAATAATAAAGGTAGGTATTATATAAAATTATATTATTATTATAATATTATTATTTATTATAATATATATTATATTGATAAGTTTCTGTAAATATATCATTGTAATTTTTATTTTTACAGCCATATTATTCTGAACATCGCCATGTTGCCAAAATTATCATATTCGATAATTAATATAATAAATAAATAATAGGTGCATTAACCTTTAAGCCGGAAAAAGTTGAACGACCCCGAGTAGGTATGTGCAGTGGCGGCGCCAGAACTTTAATACCAGGTGGGCCAGGCTGGGGCCCAAATTTTTTAGGGAGGGCCAAATTGTTGACTTGATATATATACAGTGTGTAAACGGTAATCGAGAACACTCAATATCTTTGCGTAGAGACCTGCTATTTGAATTCCGTTTTTTTGGCAGTTGTTATGACATAAAAATACACATTTTTATGGTCTTTGAGTTTTTTTTACTTAACTAGTCACGCGCATGCGCATGTCAACTTTTTTTTTTTAAATGGCAACCCCCTACTTTAACCACTAATTATTTTTTGCCTATTTTTTTAATGAATTTTTGTAGTTGAATCAACTTTCTAAGTCCAAAATTGACCAAGTTACAGCCAATCAAAAAAAGAAAAAATTTGAAAAAAAATGCGCTCAAATTTCAGCTTTTTGATTGTAACTCTGAAAATAATAATTTTAGGATTGTTAAACATTGACATTTTTGTAACTATTTATTACGGTGATATTCAAAGAAATAAACAACATACTAATTTACGTTTTTTCTGCTATAATAAGTTATATGATTTATTACACAAATTAAAGAGAAAATTATTCAGTAATTGAAGTTAAAATAACGTATGAATATCACCGTAATAAATAGTTACAAAAATGTCAATGTTTAACAATCCTAAAATAATTATTTTCTGAGTTCCAATCAAAAAGCTGAAATTTGAGCGCATTTTTTTTTCTAATTTTTTTCTTTTTTTGATTGGCTGTAACTTGATCAATTTTGGACTTAGAAAGTTGATTCAACTACCAAAATTCATTAAAAAAATAGGCAAAAAATAATTAGTGGTTAAAGTAGGGGGTTGCCATTTAAAAAAAAAAAGTTGACATGCGCATGCGCGTGACTAGTTAAGTAAAAAAAACTCAAAGACCATAAAAATGTGTATTTTTATGTCATAACAACTGCCAAAAAAACGGAATTCAAATAGCAGGTCTCTACGCAAAGATATTGAGTGTTCTCGATTACCGTTTACACACTGTATATATAAACAATAGTGATGACAGGCAATTTCTCAGAGGGGTGAGGGGGAGGGTCAACTTCCAATTTTTTTTACACTTCATCGTGTAAATTTACTAAAGCAATGATTTGTAAACATGTATTGTATTAACTATTAATAGTATTTATTTGCTAACAAAATATATATTCATGTAAACACTTTTTGATTTTTATGCTCCCTAACCCATAATTACACTCAATACCAATGAATATTTAATAATAATTTATTATTTTCGTATTCAGCCGCTGGAAAATACACGTTATTTATGAGGCTTGAAAGCATAGTGCATAGTGCATATAGTTTTCAACCCATTCAAAATGTTGTTCACGCCATCTATTATGACTTAATATTTTCATATTTTAATAAATCATGATTTATTCATGAGATATTTTTTATTATTTTAATATGATTAAATTTAATTTTTGGGGTGGGCCACAGGGGGGGCCGGAGACTTTTTAAGGTGGGCCCGGGCCCACCCTGGCCCACCCCTGGCGCCGCCACTGGGTATGTGTCATCGTTTGACCGCCGATTGGATGGCGGCATTGCTGCAAGTACTACAAAAAATCCACTGTCGACCTTGGTAACCGTACAATATTTATTTTAACCAGCCACGTTATTGTGGTAACCTCAAATACGAAAGCGGGTTAGGTTAGGTTATACGTCCTGTTATCAACTTCCGTCTTGCCACCGGATAATACCCGACGGATTTTCGGTGTGATTATATATTATAATATATTTTTTAATTGATATATTATTATATATTTTTATTAATATAATATATTATTGTTGTAATATTATGTAGGAGTAGTCAATCATGTTCTACTTTTTTTTATTTTCGAACCCGTCGTATGTGCCTATGTACCTCGTTCTATAGCTGTAACGATACATCTATATTTTTTAATGGGTCCGTGACCCATTAAATGTATAATATTATTGTTTTCTAGTTCAACATGCATTACCATTCGTGTTTGTTAATATAGTTTTGTGCAATTTTTCTTTCTACTGTGTTAATTATTGTTCGTCTGTTTTTAAAATTAAAATTTTATGTATAAATCATAATATAATTTATACTTATATTGTTTAATTGTTATTATACTTATACTTGTTTAATTTATCGTCGCATAGAATATATTTATTTTATCGTTTGTTGTTACTATGGAAGAATACGGGGAAATTAATTTAACTAATCAAGAGTTGCAAATGTTGTCGGATTTAGACAGGTAAAAAATATCAGATTATTCACAGTACCTTAAATCTTTGTACAATAACCAAATTAATATTACTAAATTCTTTTGTAAGTGCACCATTCAGATTATTTAACATAGATATAATAGAACTATAATAAATTATATTATGTCTATGTTATTCAATAGTTTAAAATAGTGATATTATCATTAACTATTTACAAATATTATAATATGTGCCTACGTTTATTATGATATATTTTGTAAACATTTGAGCTAATAATTGAGACTTTAAAGAATTTTTACAAATTAATATATTAGGGATACCTATATTATGATCAACAAAGAGTAAGCCATTGTGAAATTTGTTTACTTTGTACTCGCTTATTTTTAACACAAAGTTAAAAAAAATAATAATATATCATTCAGTTGAATAGGTATGTGTAAGATTTAAATTTCTGACACAAACTCAGATATTTACCATCTTTGGATACTTCTATACGTTATTTTTGATCATTATAATAAATTTGGTGCAATAAATTATATAAATATCTACTTGTAAAATGCAACTAATTATGCACCTGTTGTTGTTGTAATTATAATGTAGTAAAGAACAACAATGACATACATATTATATAATTTTACCTAATTTGATTTTTAGAACTATCTAATTATTTAATAATAATAATAATTTTGTTTGAATTTGAATTTGTGGATATATTTTAAGTATTTGTCATAAGACTATATTATTATTATTACACTTATAATGTCTACACATCCATTTATATATTATTAATTTTTCAAGATAACAAAAAGGTACAAATAAATTGACTGTAACGTATAAAAATCACACCAAAAAATATAAATTAATTTTTAACTGATGGATAGCATAAACTACAAATGTCTTATAATTTTTGAAAAAAAAAACATGAATCTATTGCATCTAGAAATGTATTATGAGAAAATATTATTTATCTAAAAATGTATTTTCAGAAAATATGATTTAGCAGAATAACTAAATTTGCTAAAAATATTTGTATGTTAAAACTTTAAAATCAATTAATGGTTTTTAGTAGTTTTTAACATAGATATGTTTTTTGGCCGAATGTAACTTTTTTTCCGACTGATTTCTGACGATTATTATGTTATTATTACTGTAATGTCTGACATACTATTTTGCTGCAAACATTTCTTTAAAATGTAGTATGTTAATTGATATTTTTTTTAAATATGAAATAAAAAAATTATGTTGTTATTCATAAAAGTAAAAACAATAAAATAAAATATTGTTTTGTAACAATTTAAAATTATGCAGAAAAAAATACTTTTTGAAGTAATGAGTATTACCGAGGCATTAATTATTTCAAAGATTTAGGGCCTTATTCATAGTCGATGCTTAAGAATAAGTATTGCTTAAGCTATACTTATGACTCAACATAATTAGCGCCCACTCGAATTTTTCGATTTTTTTTTTGGAAACCTATGTATTTCGACGAGTTTAAAACGATGGTGTGAAAATTAGTTTGCGGAAATGATTATTTTGGAAGTTACAGCCTTCCAAAGTTTTGCGATTTTACGTTTATACACATGCGTGCAACACTACTATAATGCCCCGCGGAGGACGTCGATATTTTTATATTAAAAGTTACGAGTCCGTATGCCTAGTTAATTTGTGTTTTCACTCCTTGATCTGTTTACATAAGTATATAGTGACTCCCTTCGCCTATCGGCTTCGGTCGCCAGTTAGAGTAACATTAGTCTATAGAAGCTCGAGGTCCTGCAGACCTCTCGCTGGATGTGGGCTTGGTCCCCAAACCCCCTAGGGATTAAATAGCAAATCTGAGGGGAGGGGTGGCGACCCCTTCAGGGTTGCGGGGGTAGAGAGCATACCTGCCCTTTGGGCAGACGGATGAACCAACAAGTCAATTTTTTTTTGAAACCTAGATAAATCAACGTTTTACAAATGATGGCACCAATGTAAATGACTAATTTACCTAATCTAAGTTTTCAGTTTATATTATAATCCATAAACACACTGTATTCAGACAAATAAAGTTATGTTGTATAGTATGTATAGTGATAACACGTCTAGCGGCACTCGTCGCTGCGCTTAAAGTAGTGTTGCGCGCATGCGTATAAATGTAAAATCGCAAACTTTGGAAGGCTGTAACTTCCAAAATAATCATTTCCGCAAATTAATTTTTACATCATCGTTTTAAACTCGTCGAAATACATAGGTTTCCGACAAAACAATCGAAAAATTTGAGTGGGCGCTAAACTAGAATTATGCCAAACTTTGGCTTGAGAAAAGAAAAAGTATTACTTAAATTAAGGTTGGTCGAGTGTTCGAGACCTACCTTAAGCATTGCTTTAGTTATAATCACTATTTATTTATTTTTTTAAATTATCTTAAGCATCCTCTATGACGGCCCTTACCCTTTTTAAACTTTGGGCAATTGAATATTATTTATTGTATATATTATTTTTATTTTTATCTAAATGTACCTATTTTTATTCAATTTTCAACTGTCAATTAACTTTTATTTTTATAAAAAGTAACATTCTATAGACATCTTTATATTGTAGGTATATTTGTGTACTATACTCGTAATATATCAGTACTTATATTTTAATTATTTATCATTATATTTTGAAAACTATTAACCACTTGAATATACATAATAATATATCATATATTTTTATGTTTGCTGTATAATATTTATATTTTATTTTAGTCGAATGTATGGATTTTTGAAGTTAAATGATCCAAAAGAAGAAAAGAAAAAAACATTAGTTTTAAAAGTAAGTATATTTCAATCATTAATAACACATTTATACTATAATAATGGATACTTTAAGACCGAGTTTAAGACTAAGTCATTAAACAATCATTATTGGTATGATGGAATTTTTGTTTGATATTAATTTTCTAATATCAGAAATAATTATACTATTTAAAAGCAATTATTTATAACTTATCTTCTTATTGTAAAAAATATATTAAATCTTACTATCTTATTAAAACAACTCTTATACATATTTTAAATAGCCTAAAAGTTTTAACTCTAAATTGATTAAAGGTTGTCTTTATTTAGTTTTATAGAATTGTCAAGTGTAGTATCTGCTATTTGAATTTACATCATAATATTTAATACTAATGATTGGAAACCATATTATTATCATATAGACATATTTATTCTGGGTAAATTAAATAGGCTTGAAAGTTCAAGCACATTTAATCATTGTATATGTTTATGTATTGATTTTTAAAATATAAATAGTATTTTTAATATTTTCTAACAAATTTTGTTTTTGATGGACATAAAATAAATTGGTACCTTGACTTTATCAAAAACTACCTACAGGAACCATAACTTTAAATTTTTAATTTAAAATGCTCTATAAAAAAAAATTATATGATTAGGTACACTACAATATGCAAAATACTATTTCTTGTAATGAATCCTATCTCCTTGAAACAAATTTTTATTTTACCTAGAATTTCATAGGACTTGCTAAGATTGATATGCAAATGCATGAACTTATGAGCTCTGGTAATTAATACATGTTTGCTATTGGGAGACGTTTTTGACAAAATGTATACAAATTAAAAAACTAAAATTGACATTGTTAGAATATATATATTTTATTTTAATTATAGACTAGTATTAATTGAAAGTGAGTTATTCATTTAATTAGTAGCGTATATTTAATAACCTATACTTAATCCCAACATTCCCAACCTTATCAGTAATTACTATTTACTACTACTATAAGTAATTTTATAAATATAACTGTTTGCATTTATTCTAAATTACAATATATTGTTTAACTCTAGGCAATAAAGTACCTCGAAAGGATGTTAATGCAAATGCAGAAAGAAAAAGCAGAAGATGAATCCTCAAAAGCAATCAGCATTGATTCCAAAACTTATTGCAAACTAGGACATTTCCATTTATTATTGGAAAACTATTCTAAAGGTATTTCATAATTTAGGTTCAGTTATTGTTTAAGGATGGGCTCTGAGTTATATTCGATAAAAAACGGGTTATTCTCTATAATTAAGATTCCTCAATAGTCTCAAGGTAAACCTATATTGGTGTAATTCAGACTAATTATATAAGCTATATTTTTTGTTTTAATAAATAATGGATAAATAAAAATATTACATTACATACATTATACATTATTAAATAATGTATTCAAAACATGGCATATACCTACCTATACTATTTTGATTCATGTTAATATTATCCGGTTGAATAATATTAATTATTAGTTTTATCGCTGCTATTTAATATTAAAGATTTATTTTTAATTTGAAGTGGAGTACCTAGTTTATATTTTTATGAATACCGTTAATTTACTTGAATCATTTTGGTTAATATTTATAAACACTTTTAGTATTATCAACTTTTTAAACTTTTTAAACTTTATTTTGGTTGTTTTTATTAATACTTATTTAAAATTGAATAGTAATATTACTTTAAAATATGTACATTTATAATATTTTAATTTGTTTTAGCAATGTCTGCATATCACAAATATTATAATGATGCAGAAACTAACCATTGGAAAGATGCTAATTTTTTGTATGGGCTCGGTCTTGTATATTTTCACTTCAACTCATATCAATGGTAAGATTAATGGTAATTTACACTTATAGAAATTGAATGTGGTATCTTATCTACTATTGTTGATGGAGTATACACATCATTAATAACAATGCATAAATAATAACTTTAGTAAATTTATAATATTTGGTACTGAATCTATTTTTTAATTTAACATTACTTTTTACTACAAAACTATACTTACTTTTCAATATCTTAATTATAGACCATGAACTATAAATTAAAATATTGTCCAAAATACAAATTGTATATAATTTTTAAATACCTGTATGATGCATGGACATATTGATGCTAGATATTGTAAATTGTATTATGTTTTAAACATTATGTAACCATCACATTTTACATAGGTACACTAAAGTACAATGAATTATCTTAAATAAAAAAGGCATACACAGGAGTCACCTAAGCAGGCGGGTGTTTTTAAATTTAAAAGTAATAATAAATAATTACATTACTAAAAATGATTCCGACAATAGATCAAAAGTACTATTTAAAATATAGATCTAAGATGGCACTACAGAACATTTAAATACAAATTGAAAATTGTAGGTATAGCTCTTAAAAACAATACAATAAAAGGCTAATAACTAATAAAAAATAATAAATACTAATAAGTAATAATTAAATATTTTTCAATCTTCTCTATCGTCTCCTAAGTCCTAAATCATTGTAGGTATAATATTTAATAGCAAGATAGGTTTTCAGTAATCAATTATTGATTAAATTAGATTACTATAAAAATGTTCACATCTTTTTCTGATTATGCCATTATGGCTTTAAATTAGAGATGGGCCGATACCACTTTTTACCAATATCTGATATTCCAATATATTCTTTCGATAAAAAAACCAATACCTAACCGAAATATTTGAAAATCAACATTTTTGGCATAAACCATGAACCGATATTAAAAGATAACCGATACTGCCAACCGATATCAGCTAATACCAATACCAATAATACAATTTTTTTGTAATTTTTCATTGATTAAACATTTATAAATTTATAATCAATGCTATTATGCAGATTGATTTGGTTATTTTTTTTGGTATTGATTTAAATATCAGTTTAAAAAAATCCGATACCATCAATATCGAGTATCAGTTCTAGAATTGGCCTATTCCTACTTTAAACGATTTGTTTTTATAATTAATAATAATTAAATATTGAATTAAAACAAACAAATTTAAAATATTATAGGTGTATAATAATCAAGGCTGGGCAAGTATATTTAACTCAGTACGTTAAGTAATATGCACCAATAACAAAAAGTTAAAAGTTAATTTAACTATAGGTTAACTCAGTTAAGTTAAAAGTTAATGCACACTTTTTGTTAACTTTTTATTTTGTTTATACAACACTAGACTACTTAATTTTCACTAACTCAAAACTAAATTATAGACTATAGTGTTTATACTTTATACAGTATTTCCATATTAGTTTGATTCGAATGATATACATTTTTTACTTTAAACAATTCATGGTAAATATTTTTTGATATCAAAAAGTAATAGACTAAAATAGTGAAATATGATAAAATTAAAAACATAATAAATTAACTTAACTTACTTCTTGAAATGTAAAATTAACTCGTTAATTTTATGTTAATTTAAAAAGAAATTTAGCAAGTTAAAATGTTAACATAAAAGTAACTTTAACTTTTTAACTCGTTAATGTACAGCCTTGATAATAATATTATATAATATGTATGTGTATCTAAAATTTGTAGTATATTAATATAGGTGCTTTTTATTCATTCAACTGATAATGAAATCAATGAAAAATTTGCCAAAAGTCCACAATATCACTCAAGTGTCCTAGTTAAAAGATTCCCGGGTCTGACTTCAGCGATATCATTGAATATATCTCACCTTATTTCGCTAATTGGTATAGAAATATTCCACCAGAACACTGGTATCAGTACCTTAATCTCCCTAAAAATTCACCTCCTTCTCCCTGGGTCACATCTTATTTCATTCTTATTCCTTGTACCTATAAAGTAATAATTCTGAATAATGATTAATGATAAATATATTGTGTTGGAATAATTTTAATTTTATTCTTCTATTTCTTTTTTTTCTGTGAATTTATAAAAATTTAAAATAACTAAATTTCCATATAACAAATGTATTGTGAAAAGAATATTGTGTAATGTAGATGATTGGTTGATTTTTGCTTTTTACTTTTTATTAAGATTATTTAATTTCATAAATTAATAATACAGATAAACATTCTGCAAATTAATCTTTTGCCTATAAATAAGTCTAGATAAGATGTAAAACATTTTCCAATACAATAATTTATGCTCATCAAATCATTTAAGATGATGTCATCTCTGTTTAACTGTAATCAACTGTTTAAATAAGCATCCATTAAAAAAAATAACCAAGGTAAACCATCTGTAGCCTATATCTACTTTAAAATAACTATTACCATTATCATAAATACCATTATAGACTATAATTACTATTACTAGTATATTAGTAATAAACTAGTGCTATTCAGCTATTTGATTTTTTAAAAATCTATACCTATTATAGATTTAAACTAGTGTATTTATTTACAATAAGATTATTAATTGATAACAAACAAGAAAAAATTTATACAGTTTTTAGAACAAAAAACTAAAAATTCAAACTTTAAAAAAGTCAATGCATTCAAAATAATTAGTAAATAAGCTAGTACTTAGGTAATTGTGAAAATTAAACATAATTGTTTTTTTTTTCGGAAACGCAAACCTAGATTGAGCAAATAAGTGTCTTTAGTTAAATATAAATTCACCTTGTACATAACTACAAACGTTTTACCGACGATATATTATTATTATAATTTATAAGACATCGGTGGAATAAAGTAAACCAGTTTTCAAACTCAGGTGAACGGCTGCGGCATAAGACCGTCCACCTTCAGTTTACCTGCAGCCTGTTGTCTGTAGGCTGTAACGTCAATGCATCACAACGATAATAACCAATAAGGAATAGGAAGAGCGTAGTAATAATAACAATAATAAAGATAATGATAGTCTTGATGGTAAAAAAAAAGTGTGCACAGTCTTAGTTCGCTACTCGCTGCTGTCCGACCCTCGGAGACAGACAGACAGTACGCAGTCGTCGCACCACCGTGGCCGCCGGCCGCGTACAGGCGTACTCCGGTACTCGCCGGTAAGTCGGGGGCTCGTTAACCGCCCGACACTGAACCGAGTATGTACGATTGTACACGATCCCGGAGTAATAACAATACCGCTCGGTAACTACGGACCGGACAGACCGCAGTCGTGAGTTTGGCAACCACTGAAGTGTCTCATGCGCCGAGGTTAGCGTCCCACAGGTCAACGTTTAGAGCGTTTTCATGTACGCCATACGCGCAGCGTTGTGTACCGTGTACGCGTTCATAGTTTAGTTGCCACTCGCCGGCGTAGTACGTACACCCGTCGTAGTAGGGATGCGCCGCCGCCTCTTCGGCATCCTTCTTCTCCTATAACCTCTTCGGCATTATAGTTTCCGCCCCACCCTCCGACCCGCCACCGCCGTTCCCTCCGACCGCTGCCGCCCGCAATTCGCTTCGGCGGGGCAGCCCTTCTCCCACTCATCGTATTTTTTTTAATACCGTCTCTCTCGCGCGCCCGTCTTCTCCCGCCGCGCATCCCTTCTCGCTCGCGCCGTGTTCCCTCCCACCACCACCGCCGCCTCCTCTGCTATTCGGGGGGGAGACGCCCGACGCACGAACATCCATCCGAAAGACCCTCTTTTTTTTTTTCACGGCGACCGTCGACGACAATGTCCTCTACACCGCACGACCTGCAACTGTACATTTTACAATAATATATATAAATATAATATATTATTAGTTTTCTTTCGTTTTTTAAAAAATCACATCCTTCTCCAGGTTTTCCTTCCGACGTGCGGCCGTGCGGGTCGACTATAGTTTTATTTATTTCCACCTCGTTATTTCAGTCATCGCCGTTTGTCCGTCTCAAATGCCTCCGGTCGTCGTTTACTTATACCGATTGTTAATTTCGCACGTAGCGTTCAGTGTTCATTTATCATTAGTTCGTAAGCCGCCGCCGCCGCCGCCGCTGTTCCAGTGTTCGTACGCGCTGTAACTCGTCCACACACGTTGAACACACACGCGTGCACTCAAACACACTTACACGCGCGATCCTCGCGCACACGCACGCACCGTCTCCTGTTATCTCAGGTAAACTTTGACACATGTGTATATATATACATACGTACGCTATTGTGTAATATTATTATTTATTATAATTACTATAGGTACGGTGTTATAAGCGTTTCCTGTCTTGTCTCCGACGGGCAACGACGACGACGCTCCCGCGCGCACTCAATCCGTCGGCGCTGTCGCACCGATGACCGATCGACGATCATACCGCTGCGAAGTGGTTTTTGTTTTTGTTTTTTTTTTTCACTCATTTTTATATTTCTCCAGATAATAAACATTACGCTATCATCGCCGCCGCACCGCGCACAGTATCGGCCGTGACGCTCGCGCCTCGTAAACAAAACGCCGAACCGCCGTGGCCGCACGTAGGCACTAGGCGCATCAAGGCGCATTGGCCTTTTGCCGTACTGCTGCCACCGTCGCCGGCGGTCGTCGTTTTGTGTTATGTAGTTTTAGTTGGTTTTCGTTCGGGATTTTTTCGTTGCCGTATTATTATTTTTTATTTTCGAACGTGTGGCGTCCCTTAGTCGATTCTCTTTTTTAGAGTATTACGTTTTTACGACCGTCCACGACTAGTACTGTACATATATCTTCTTTGCGGTAGACCACAGTGGCCGTCCATCGTTAGTTTCTGTCGTTCAATCGCGTCGTCGTCCTTCGTTAGTATGATAAATATATAATGATATGTCAGAATATTTTGGTATACATTAGTTTTATTGTCGACAATGGTTAGTGTATTTAGAGTCATACTCAGTCATAGTTATATTGTAGTAGTGACATTAACCATTTTTGCTGTTTCAAATGCAATCAGTACAGTCAAAACTATTCATCTACAATACTAACATTTTGTTATTTTTCTTCATTTAATATCTATTTAATGGGTCATTTTTAAAATAATTTTTTATCATAAATGTCAGAAATTATTGTTAAAAGTATTTTATCTAACTAAAGTGTTTTCCAAAGCCATGTCATAGAACAATAATTTGTGTGTACAATGTAATTTTTAATATTAGTTCAACTGAAACTAATAAGATATTACAATTGAACATTAATAAATACCTATACTGCTTAAGTATTTATCAATGTTTAATTTTGTAAAGTTTTATGAGCCAAAATATACAAATTTTATTATTTCTATTTCGAGGACAACATACATTGAATATCTATTATTTATTACTTGTCGGGACCCAAGTAATAATTGCATAGTTAGTCCTACACCTACTTATTTAAAACAATGACAACATTTTATTCTTTTTAAATAGTTGGTCACAATGCTATTGACTAGGTACCTACTCCCAGTTAATAATTATTACAAAACGCTTGTTGAATCATAACTATATTTCTCTACTTAAAGTATTCGTGCTAACAACACGTCTTTATTTTAATATTTGAGGCAACATTTGTATTCATATTTTGGTAGTTATCATTATAAAATTAGTATTGTCTGTTATCTATTTACTTAATGTACATTTATTTGATTAACCTACTGTAATATAAATATTGGTTTAAAAAGATGTTCATGATTAATTATATTGTTGATATAATTAATGTTGTTTAATATTTTACAGCCTATGGTTTATTTTTTCAATAGTTTATAGTAGAAAATTTTAAAAATTAATCAGTTTAGATAGGCAATAAGTATTGATACATTTTTATTTTGTAATATTTTATGCTATTATTTAAGTAAATATGAATAGGTGCCTTTCAATAATTATTGTACAAGTGATTTTTATTATTATGGAAAACAAATAGAAAATAAATAGTTTTTACCTAATTGAAATACAATTTTATTTTAACTCTATTAAGGAAGCTTCACATTTCACTTACTTAGATACTTAATGCATTCTACATTGATCATATCTGATTAGAAAACACTTAAAAATTGTTTTATGTATATTAACCACTTTCTAGTTTCTATTAAGTAAAATCACTTAGGTACTGAAACGATGGAACTAAATAATTTGTCAACAATAGGTATTTAGAATTATATTTTAATTAGATAAATTCCAATGTTTAAGTTGACTCTGTTCTTACTGTTATAATAATTATGAATGTAAATCAATAATCTATGTTGGTAGGTGTAATAAGCATCATCGTTATTAATTAAATACCTAATTGTAGGTTTGGACGTTAGATTTTTAATGTATAAAAATTTGTCAAAAAAAATGGTATAAACTATAATTTAATAACTTACTGTTAGAATAATTTAAAACAAAGAAGATTCATACCAACATTGCATTTAATCGTTATACACCCTGCCAATTTGGCATTTGGTCAAAATCATCAAACATCACTAATCACTATATATCCTATTAAAAAGTTATTTTAAGCCCTAGTATGAAAGGATATTGAATTTGCATTGAAATTTCAAAAAATTTTTACAAAATCTAATTTACTATATTGTTGAATAATTTAATTAATTGTTTTTCAGGTCTATTCAGTTTTTTCAAAAATTACTTTATATTGACCCAAATTACCAACGGGCCAATGAAGTACATCTTAGATTGGGTTTGATGTACAAAGTGTTTAATGAGTGGGAAACAGCATTAAAACATTTAAAACACGCATATTCAGATGTTAGTTTAAGCACATTTTCCAAACTTGAAAGTATGATTTAAATTTTATTATATTCAAAGCTGTTTTATTTATTTATTTATTTATTCATTTTGATTTTCAGTAAGCTTCCATATTGCACATTTATATGAAGTACAAGGAAAGTACAAGTTAGCTAAAGATCATTATGAACAACTCTTAAACGATTCAAAAATTACTGTTCATCTACGTGCCGATATTTGTAGACAGTTAGGTTAGTATTATTACATATTAAATACTAAAAGGTGTCTTATAAGATATTAATTTTTTTTTTTTTTTGAATTTCATAGGATGGATGTACCACAGTTGTGAATGTCTAGGGGATAAAAATCACCGTGAAACCGTTGCTATTCAATATTTGCAAAAATCTATTGAAGCTGATAACAAATCAGGACAGTCACTTTATTTATTAGGCCGTTGTTATGCAAGTGTCGGAAAAGTTCATGATGCATTTATAGCATATCGTAATTCTGTTGAAAAATCTGAAGGAAATGCTGACACATGGTGTTCCATTGGGTAAATTAACATTTTTAACATAATATGTTACAAGATATTTTATATCAGAATTATCTTTTGTTATCTTCTACCTAATAATATTTTAAAAAAACCGAGACCTTCAATAGTTAAATGTATAAACTTCTCTCGAGGAAATAACTTCAAAAATCAAGCTGCCAGACTAGAAATCGAACCCAGGTCTCTTGCTTGCCGGGCGATTGCTCTACTACTGAGTTACCTGACCGCACAGACATACGACACTATCCCCCCCCCGTAAACGGAGTTAACATTCGACTATCCTGGCGCCCTTGATCTTCAACAGTCCTTACTGTCACTCACTGCGACTGTTGCTTCACCCCACATGACCACCAGAGCGCATGACCCAGAACCCTAATGCAATCCGAATCGTCTCCTTACGGTCTCTAGAGTACCAGATGCCCAGGTCCCTCACTACTAGGGTTGTCACTTTTGAAAGATAGTAGACCTGGTGACAGGCTGATAAGCAAAAATATAAATTTCTCTCATATGCACTAATTGCTTATCAAAGAAAACACGTGTTCAACAAAAGCATTACTTATAGAAATTGAAAATATTTTTAATATTTTTTGGTTGCTTATTAACAAATTAAATAATTATATAAATACTAATAATTTTACGACAACCTGTAGAAAAATTCATTGTACCCATAGTCTGTAGATTTATATGTAAAACCGGATTATCCGGATGAAATCCAGAAAGGTGGCAACCCTACTCACATCACACACGACACACTGTGTCCTTCAGTCTCCCATCCCACTTCTAATTATGTTAACTTCTCCCAGGGTTATTATGTCAAATATTAAGCTGCCGGACTGGGAATTGAACCCAAGTACTCGCTTGCCTGGTGATTGCTCTGTTACTGAGCTATCGCTTGACTTACTTACTTATCTTCAGTATTTTTTTTTAAATTTGTAGCTTAGTTTTTTTTTAATTATCTTAAAAACTTAATTTAAAGTTTTATGGTTTACATTTTGTTTCAATTTTGGATTGGTGCTGCTTGAATTTGTGATGCATAGTTTTGATACCAAGTGATAATTTAACTTTTCATTAATACTTATGTAATTATTTGTTATTTTAACTATAGAGTACTCTATCAACAACAGAACCAGCCTATGGATGCATTGCAAGCATATATATGTGCAGTGCAATTAGATAAAGGCCATAGTGCAGCTTGGACTAATCTTGGTAATGTCAATTGTGCTTGAACCCACTAAGTTTAAATTAATTTTAATTTCATTATTGTCTCAGGTATATTGTATGAAAGTTGTAACCAACCAAAAGACGCTCTTGCTTGTTATGTTAATGCAACAAAAGGTAATGCTGTAGTTAGTGAAACGTTGATTAAAACGACCTTAAATGTTCCAGCATCTGCAATATCGAACATGAATCCTAATCTTGGTCAACGTATTAAGTTTTTACAAACTCATTTATGCAATGCGCCAATGCCTAGTATTACTAGCAAGTAAGTTTTTTTTGTTTTATGCTCATATTATGGTGAAATTTGTATATTTGTATTAACATTTTTTAACATCATAGGCGACGACAATTACCTTCAATTGAAGAGGCTTGGAATTTACCAATTTCAGCAGAAATGTCTTCAAGACAACAACAACAGCAACAGCAACAACAACAACAACAGCAGCATCAGCAACAACAACAACAACAACAGCAGCAGCAGCAACAACAAAAGACTATACAAACACCATATCAAAAATCTCAGGATATGATTGCTACACCCCATGGGCAACCTCCTCCTCCTCCTCCTCCTTATAATTCATCTAAATCAGATAACCCATTAGAAAATAATACCAAAAGAATCAAAGTAAGTATTTGTTGTAAAATAAATAATTTCTCATTTCAAATTTTTAAAAAAAAAAACCTATTTTACTTTTAGGTTGAACCTCAAACTGGCAGTAACAGTAATCCTCCTCAACCTGCATTTTATTTAAATAGTCTGCAACTTCAGACAATGAATGTTCTCCAAGAAAATTCTAATAATTTATCACATAAACAACAAGTATATAATAATAATATAGATGTATTTTATCGATTTTACCCAAAAGTATTTATTAATTATTGGATTTAAATATTTCTAGGCATTGCTACAACAGTTGCAAAATAACTATCGTATGATGCAACAACATCAACAGCAATTGCGGTTGAAACAACAACAACAAAACGACACTAGTCAACAAGAACAATATCAAAATCCTACAGTGATAAAACAGTTCTCTGACCAAAGCCGAGGAGACTCAAAATCCAATGATTCAATTGATGGTTCAAATGAAAATCAAGAGTTGGATAGAGAATTGCAAGCTCTCCTATCCCACAAAGAATTAACTACTTCATTAGCTGAAGATTTGCTCAAACAGTTTGGTTCATCAGATGAATTGGATATTAAAAATAAACCTAATACTTCTACATCACCTCAAGGTACAACAATTTAGTATTAAATAATTGTATGATGTATATATTATATAAATATTTACTATAATTAAATAGATAGATTCTAAAATTAAACTTAATTTAAATATTTTAGAAGTCAAAACTATACAACAGCCTACAACTGAAAAGGTAGTTAGATATCAAGATTCAAGTTCATCGGATACCGATTATTCTTTGGACTTAACTGCTGAGGAGGTTTTGGAAACTGCCGAGTAAGTAGTCACTTAATTTAATTTGAAACAAATTTAATTCAAAGTTCAACATAAATTTACTTAGCTTTTATTATATAAATCAAGTTGTAGAATATATATTTTTTCAATGTACGGGTCTGAGTTGTCAAAAAATGATATCATATTATAGTAACTTCATAAATTTAATTTATATAATGAATCTATGATATTTAATTTTAATTTTGAAACAGAAAAGAAGTAGCATTAACTATTTTTTTTAGGATTTCTTGATTATATTATATTTTAGGATATTTTGATTTCCATAACATGGGTACTGATTATTAGTTGTGGGCGCTTATATCAGATTCAAGCTATACAATTCTTTGAATATCAATTGTTTTTCTATGTTAATTTTGTATCCACTGACAACAAACTAATTAAAATCTTCATCATGTTTCCCTTAAGAGGACATAATATCTCGCATATTTTATCTGTCACAAACATACACACATAACATAGTAAATTTGGGTTCAAGAAAACCAATTTTTTGTTTTTACATTAATATTTAAGTGAATTAACCTATTATCAAACTTAAGGTAAGACCATAATCTGTGTGTCTACATTGGTTTTTTTATGTTTCTATTTTTAAGTCTGTTACATGTGCGTAAAATATTGCAATTTAAATATACTCATAACTCAACTATAAATACAAGTAATGCTGTTACTTTAGAGTTCAATAATAGCTTGTTGATTCACTTTAATATTAAAACTAACAACACAAAATTTAATGTAAATTCACAGTTAGTAAAAAGGAGACATTAAATGATAGTATAACATCCTCTTAATGCTAAAGGTTTAAACATCTATTTATATGTGATTTGCATATTAAGGTATTTTTCTTTATAATAAAAGAGATTCAATAAAAAAATGTTTTGCCCAAGTATACTGATACTATGAGGTATGAAATAGTTTAGTAAATATTTTTATGGTCAAATTTAGAAAATATCTAAATTCCAGTTAAAAATAAATTATTGTGCAAAAATCATAAATGACATTTAATAACATAAATGTAAGGAGAAAATACATCCATTTTCAATTTGACTAACAGGTGATTGTATATTCTTTGTGTTCACTACCACCTGCACTAGGTACTTTGTTTTTAAACACCTGACTAGTATATACAATTTTATCTTATTTACTATATAAAAGATGTAATATTTTTTTTAATCATATTCAAGTACTACTTTAAGGCCAGTTAGAAATCTCAAATCTATTTGTAACCAGCTGGTTATATAATATTGGTTTCAGGTTTCAACTAGCATTAGTTTTGGTTTGGGTTTTGCTAATAGTTTTATTTAAATTTGTTCGCTTAGGTTTTGCTAGTGGAGAATTATTTTTCAATTGATCCTTTTTATTTCGATTTTGTTAGAAAATTAAATAAACTGAAGATGCCATGATAGTTATAAACCGGTTTTAAGTCCTTTAAAGGCTGCTTTAATGTGTCTAATTTTTATAAATTTATTTAACATAATCAGTTGACTTGAAATTAAAATTAAATATTTTATTTAAGTACAATAATAATTTCTTAATTTGGGTATATTTTAGAATAGTTGTTAATTTTTAATTAAATATTTAGGAAAGAAACAGGACCTGGTATGTGGAACAGAAATGTATTGAGTCCAAATGGGCCTCCACCTACACCTCCAGAACCTCCTCCTCAACAATTGACACGTGAACAATTACTGCCATCTACTCCATCAGTCATGCTTGAAAATAAAAAAGACGCATTTAGTCCAAGATTACAAGAATTTTGTTTAAAAAATCCTATTGCTGTTGTTCGATGCTTAGCTGGTGCCCTAAAATTAGGTATATATATTTTATTTAAATGATTTGTATTATTATTTCTTATTTAATAATATTTCTTTATTCTTTTTAGATTTGGGATTATTTTCAACTCGAACATTAGTAGAAACTAACCCAGATCATTCTGTTGAAGTTCGAACACAAGTCATGCAGAACAGTGATGATAACTGGGATGTGAAACAAAATCGAAGAGGGTGGGCTTGTATTAGCCATAGATCACATACAACCATTGCTAAATATGCTCAATACCAAGCTTCCAGTTTTCACGAATCAATAAGAGTTAGTATTTTTTAATGATTATTTATTTACTGCAATTAAAAAATACATAAATTATGTCCACAATATAAAAATACATTAAACACTCATTATCTAAAAATAATTGACAACATAAATTTTATATTTCATAATATTTTTCTGGATATTATGTTTATAAATTAAATTAATATACTGTATAGTTATAAAGATATGTATAACTTCCTTATTACAAAGTCGTCTCATGGGTTACATAATAAATTAGTACCTTAAAGAATTCCCTTAAATAAAATTATATAAATTTGGCTCTCAAAGATTTTTTGTTATACAAAATATATTGTTAAATATAAGTTAATTATATAGAAGTTTTACTATACACATATATTTTAAATGTTGAATTGATGAGGCTACAAATTATGTCCAAAAATGATGACACTTATTTTCTATGTTATGTAGAAAATGGTTTTAAACAATTTCTTGTATTTTTTAATTAGTATAGTAAGATAAGTGCAAAATTGAAAAACCCATTTGCCACATAGCATAATAAAAAAGAGAATAAGGAATTTAAATATCTTTTTAAAATTAAAATTGGATTTCTGGAAGTTTATTTTTTTCTTCCGCTTATTGGTCTAAATGTACAAAAAAACGACCAGCTTTCAACAGCATGGAAATGGTTTTGATTTGGGAGGGAAGTAAGCGGTATACTATGTACTTAAGATTGTTTAAGATTGTTTACATATTTGGGTAGGGGCCCCCATATTATATTTGATTTTAGGGCCCCCAAGTGCCCCCACATGTACCTATGTATCATTTGTTTTACTTATATGTAATTAACATCAATTTAGGACGAAAAAGATGGTATACCAAGCGTTCATTCAGTTCCTAATTCAAATTTATCCGACTCTGATTCTAAAGACTCAATTACTATGGAAAAAAAACGGAAAAAAAATATCGTAAGTTGTTTATTATAGTAAAACTTATATTATATGTTAAATAATAATTTTTTTTTAAAGAATTTACCTGGTGTGAAACCTCCTGCTGGTAGTAAAATGCTGAAGTTTGGAACTAATGTGGATTTGTCTGATGAGAAAAAATGGCGTCCACAACTTCAAGAACTTACTAAACTACCAGCATTCGCACGAGTTGTTTCTGCTGCTAATATGCTTTCACATGTTGGACATTCAATATTAGGCATGAATACTGTTCAGTTATACATGAAAGTAAGAATTATTTATAATTGTAAATAAAATTATAGTTAAATTAATATGTTTTGTTTATTTTTAAAAAGGTTCCTGGTAGCCGAACACCTGGGCATCAAGAGAATAACAATTTTTGTTCGATTAATATTAATATTGGCCCTGGTGATTGTGAATGGTTTGCTGCACCCGATGCTTACTGGGGTGTCATTAATAACCTTTGTGAAAAGTAAGTTACGAGTAGTATGTTATAGTACTATAGTACAACATTGTTAGTAAATAGCTAAATAAATATCAATTATTATTAATATTTTACTATAGGTACGGATTAAATTACTTACATGGGTCTTGGTGGCCACTGGTTGAAGATTTACTTGCAGCAAATGTCCCTTTGTATAGATTTTTACAAAGACCCGGTGACATGGTTTGGGTTAATTCAGGTAATATATTGCTTAAAAGAATTATTAGGTTTAATTATATTTCTAAAATATCTGTGCATTAGGTTGTGTCCATTGGGTTCAGGCTGTTGGTTGGTGTAATAATATTGCATGGAATGTGGGTCCTTTAACGGCTAGACAATATCATCTTGCTATCGAACGTTATGAGTGGAATAAACTGCAAAGTTATAAAAGTATTGTACCAATGATTCATTTAAGTTGGAATTTAGCAAGGAACATAAAAGTATCAGACCCAAGACTTTATGATCTTGTTAAGTAAGTTAAAATTAACTATTATAAAGTAACAAAATTGTTACTATTTCACTAATAACATGTTACTTAAAGAAAAAAATTATTTTTTAAATAGAATGTGCTTGATGTGTTCTCTTCGGCAATGTGGTATAACCTTGGAATTTATAAAGGTTAAAAAAATACAAACCCGTTTTCATGGTAGAGGCAAAAATGAAGCTTCACATTATTGTCATGACTGCGATGTAAGTTAATTTTATTTACCATCTTTTTTAGGTTAACTAATTAGGTTGCTAGTTGCTACATGTATCTAGTAAGTGTATTTAATGATACATGAAACTGTATTATTATACTTATTTAAAAAAAAAAATTATATTTCGCATACTACTATCCTGCTTCAGATAAATATTATACTAAAATATTGAGATTTTATTATTTCTATGCGGTTAATGGTTATAAATTAACACTCATTTGTTTAGGTGGAAGTATTCAATATTCTTTTAATCCGTGAACAAGAGAAAAAACATTGCGTTTATTGTGTTATTTGTGCGAAGAAACAATCTCCGAATTTGGAAGGGTTTGTCTGTCTAGAAGAGTATAAAATGTCTGAACTAATAGAAATCTACAACAGTTTTATATTACATTGTCATACTACACCTGTACTGCCACCTAGTAATAATACTGTAGCGCAATTAACGTAAGTTGCTGCAATAAAAATATGTTTCTCCTTTTATTAATATATAATATGTATGTATATATATATATATATATATATATATATTGTGTATGTGTGTATATATTTGTGTATAAAAATACTTCGAGGATTTGAATGTTTAAGTATTTTACCTAATTTTTTAAACAATATTTTCTACAAGACTTTAATTTTGAAAAACGTAACATTTAAATTATTGTAATGAACCTTATGCATATTTTTGGATTATTATCATAATTTTATTGATAAACGCCAATTATTCTCAACTGTAAAAAATACCTTAACGTTGAATATATTTTTGAACCGTTTATTATATTTAAAATATTAATGTTAAGAAAATAAATTTTAACATCACAGCATCTTACACAATATGTATAATGTATAAAATGTTTTTTGTCTAACATGTGATGTTTATGTATGTAACAAACGTATAAACCATTTAATTGGTTTATGAATCAAATGTCTATACGTTCTCTTTATCTGATAAATATTTTAACTTTTTTACATTTTTATACACAATTTAAATCTACATATATTTTTTAAATTGTAGATTCTTAAATTAAACACCCCAAAAAATTGCTTTACATAAAATTTGTATTAACTGCAATAATTAGGGAATTTTATAGTAAACGGTTCTTGAGTATCAAATTGGTTTCATGAAGAATTTTTCCATGTTTAAGTTTATGGCAGCTCATTGCACACATGTGTTCACGTAAATTGTACAAAATTTAAAGGACTGTTAATGCCATTTATAGTAAATGCATAATAAATAATAATTAATAACTATAAGAAACAAGTAGAAAAATATTGTACATACATTATGTAAACTTAAATTCGGTTGTTATATCTACACACCTTTCTAGAATTTTTCAGATCTCAGCGTTTTTTTTTTTTTTACCGTAACGTTTAACATGATATTTTTATACTGAAAAATCAAATTTTATTTTATTTTTATCTAAATGTTTTTTTCTTGGCCTCTATTCTGAAAACTATTTTTTTCAAAGTACAAAATTGTATGTTTTTTTTATTCATAATACATATAGTCATGAGATTATGCGGATACTGAATTTTGATTTATTTTCTTTATCATTATTAGTTATTTTATAAACAGTAGTACAAAATAACGAGCCTTATATTTTAAAGCTGGAGTTACATAGATAATTATGAGGTCCAAAAAAATTATATATATACCATTGTATTTTTTTAAAAATATTTGATTAAGCTACTGTTTATAAGTACATTTTATTTGACTACCATATTTACAATAGGCTTATAAACCTATTTAAGTAATAGGTTAAAGTATTTTAAATAATATTGCTATACATAATTATATTTTGTTTCTTGGTTCTTTTTCTCTAAATTTAAATAATTATTCAAATTAAAATTCAAAAATAATTTTGATTAAGTAAAAGATATGTTCCATTTCCTCTTTATATATAAATATATAACTGTTTTCAGTATATTAATTATATTATTTTCATCTGGTCAATGTTTGGGTTCCTTATTTAATTTTTTTTTTATTTGGACATTAATTTCATTTTTTGAATTAATTTAAAACTATTATTGTGTTAATTAGTATATTTTTTTTTTTCAAATTTAGTCAAAAATGTGTGTTTAGTTCAATTTTGTAGTAATTTATTTTTTAGTCACATTTGAGTAAGACAACTTATCACTGCCATAAACTAAGACGAGACTTCTCGTCCTCGTCACCTAGTACTGATTTTAGCTGTGCATTTTTTTTTTTTGTAAACAACATGTGAATGTTATATTTTAAATGTGTTCAATAGTTTTACATATTTATATTATGTTAATACAAAAATCATTGACTTCTTTAAATAAGTAATAGCTTTTAATTTTAGTTTGAATATAAATGTATTGTATCTTAAAAACATTTATTTAGATTTAAGTTAAGGTTTCAAATTTATTTTTAGTTATGAAAACAAACATTATTCTTATTATATATTTTTTCTTTATAAGCTTAGGTAAATATTAAAAACCTAACCTGGTGTTAAGTAGCGAATTATTGTAATATTGAAATCATATATTCAGCTTTCAAAAGCCGACTTGTATTCATTGTATAAAATAGTTGATCTCATGATTATTTTATTTTTCAAATGATAAAATTATATTATAAAATATTGTAATAAAGCTTTAAACAATAGAATAACTTTTGTCTAAATTTGTGTTTTTTTATTTATACTAAAGTTCATTATTATTTTTTACTAAATCTAATAGGTAACTTATACAGCAGTGAAACTATAGTTTATTTATCCATCATATTTATTATCAACCACTAATTTATATCTGTAATGCTACCCAATTTAGAAGTATAATTAATAGAGAACATTTTTGTGGTCTTTAGTCATACATATTTTAATTACAATATGTATTATAAGTATATAATGTATAATATAAAAAAAAATCTTAATATGAGTGCGTCATAATCATTTAGATTATCAGTTTTCATAATTACTTATTATAAGTTACTAATGGTCAACTTATAAACTAGTTACTAATTATGACTTAATTTAAATGGCTTTGAAATGGTGTAGTATACATAATAATTTTTTTAATTTTATTATTATAAATACTTTTGACTAAGTCAAAAGACAATTTGTTAATCAGTGGATTGCTCATTATAATTACATAAAACAATTTGCATGCATTTTTATCTTTACATTGTGGAGAAAGAAACAGTATATTAACGGGATTCGATACTGTCATTTTCTGTTATTGTCTAACACACGTGTGACATAGTATTTTAGACGTATTTTTTGCCAAACATACCAATTTATCTAATGAAGCTGGCCTCTGGAAAATATTTAGTTTGCCACGCCACTGTGACATCTTAGTCCTTAGATTGTATGATACATTGTATGTATATAGCCACAGCTCAATATTTTGATGTACATGTTAGCCAAGATCCATCAAGAAATCTTTCATGTTAGTAGTGTTGGGTAAATTACTTTTAAAAAGTAATTAAATTACGTTACTCGTTAATTGTTGCTTCAAATATTTTTATTTAAATTACATTTTACATGACCCAAAATTATTTTTATCACGTTACATTACTTTTTCATCAATAAAGCAGTGCATTACAAATAACGTTAATTTTTTTTTATCAATTTTGTTGAACCATATTCAATTCATATGATTCAATTATTATGTATATATTTTACAAGCATAGACTTAGTGATAATAGACCTATTATATTATTATGTACAAATGTACAATCATCTCACCTATATGGCTATAATATAGTCATAAATCATAATTAATTTTATTTTTAAACCAAATTCTTTTCTTTCTGCTAATAAAGTAATAACATTTTTATTCCTGGAATGTTTAATAATATTGTTAACTATTATGGGAATCAAAAATAAACAGAGTTGATTTTTAATTTTCTGGGATATCCTATCAGCTTGTTTTTGTAATACATTCAAAACTATTATTTTAATAACTCATTAGGGCGTCACATTATAGAAATAAATTCATAGAAATTAAAGTAATTTTGTTATAATTTCATTTGAAATTACTGCTGCGTTACTGAAAAAGTAATTGCATTACATTGTAATTTGTAATTTTCGTTATTTTACTAGGTACCCAACACTGTTTGTTTGCAACGATGTATATGGTCTAAACAACTCAATGATAATTCAGTTTTTAAGTGAGTTATATGCTTATAAATTTAGATACAATTTAATATAGTAGCCTAGTACAAAGTTTAGATGTCCATGTTTAACATATTATTTATAAATTATAGGTGTAGGTACAGTGTACAGAAATTTCCACATTGGTATTTATTTTTTAATTTTTTATAATGAAATTCGTAATATTACTCTCCGATTTGGATAAAAAATACCACCTGCCAATTTGTAGCACAGATTATTTTATGTTCTATTTTCATCTATTCCGTGAACTACGATTATCTTAGCTTATGATTTATTCTGTACTTCCATAGAGTTATTGCCGCAGATTATATGAAAATATATAAATGTATATATACTGCGGCGCAAATAGGGCTGAAATATTGGATGGGCTGTAGCCCCCACCTGACATTCCATTGAAAAGTAACCGCACACCCCCATATATGTTCACTTAAATTATTTATTTACTCAAGTATTTAATTATACCTTATATTTTTATATTTATATTATAATTTTCAAACATTAACAATAATATTTTTTGCTTAATACCTTTATATTATATCCTATAATATATCCCTGAAATAAAATATTACGTTTCCCAATAATATTTTAACGATATATAAATAATAATAATTATTATTAGAAGTAGATTTTACAAGTTTTACTTAATATAAGTAGATACAATATTTAAAAGATTATAAAATAAAAAATATTTCGAATGATCGATGCATCAAATAAAATAAATAATTATTAAACAAATAGACAATAGTTAATAAATGCAGGTAGGTACCTAATCAGTAATCTTTTAAAAGAATTATTAACATAATGTTATGTTGTTTAACGTCGCGATATAAAACAAAACAATATTATTGTTAATTTTTGAATATTATTTATTATATATTAATTTTTAATGAAAAGTATACCTAAATTATATAAGTATAATAATATACTTGTAATTAATAATTTATAATACTAATTACGTTTTAAAAATACCAATGTGGTTTTCAGTAATATTGTAGTCTGGGGGTTTTTTTTTCTTAGGGTCGGGAATTTTTTTCAGGGGATTTTTATTCCACTATTACCTATCTCTATGTTGCATAGGTATACTGTGAAATTGTGTGTAATATTTACCAAATATAAAATTATCATACTGTTTCCTTAAAACGAATACAAGCATACAGCATATGATATTTACCACATTTATCATAGTCAATAATCAATATAAAATAAAAAGCGGGGAAGTGGATGTCGCTCTGCTGTACAGTAGGTTACAGGTGGGTCATTGTATAATGGATTGTATTAAACTTGAATTCAATGATATAATATCATTGTATAAGAAAAACGATTCTGAGCGGAGATGGTCTGTCAGTCTGGATATTTTATATTGTTATTATTTATTATAATATCATGTAAGTTGAATTAATATTATAATTTTATAATTTATATTTTTTATTCGTTTCTATGGTGATAACTGATAAGCAAAGCGTTAGAAATTAAAATCCCAATTTTAGAGGTTTTTCGTAATTTTTCCGTGGCATTAAATAACTGTTGATAAAATCGAAAAATGACCTCTCTTAAAGTACCATCTTGATCCAATTTGCTAAAAGATAAGGTACTATATATTGAAATCGAAGCACTCCTTCTGGTAGAAATTTTGTATTCAGGATATAAAAAGAAGGAAAAAAATAATAAAAATAAGCACCATTGTACAACCAAAAAAAAGTTTAAATAAAAATTTAAAAAAAAAGTAAGAAATACAGTATAATTTTTAAAGCTTTGTTAATATAATAGGAAAGAATTGAATAATTTATTTTGAGGGGTCTATTAAAAGTTAGGCTAATCCTCCCCCCACTAGTTGCGCTTATGCACCTGATCGTCCTGATCCCCACACCTCCCATATACATTCACTCAAAAATTATAAAATAAAAATAACAAATATTTGTATACTCAAGTTTCATTTTACTCAGTAATAATAATATATACTGTCTGTATATTATAGTTCGGTACATATTGTACTGTACAATTACGTATAATAATCTTTCCATAGTTACGCTTGTATAATGTATATAAATTTATATATAATAATGAGCCACGGACCACGGTAATACGGTATATTAATATTATAATCCGTGTAATGAGCCATGGTTTTCATAACAAATAATATTCCTTGTTATTATCATATTATCTATGGTTATTATTTACTCAACGACACGGACTAAGATATACAGGACTGGACACGAGATGAATATTGTGGTTACGAAATGTTTTACAACAGGCGGAGTTCGGGGGGATATTTTCCTTTTAGCATTACTAGCGCCGTCTTAGTGGATACTTTGGAACTAGATCACATTGGGTTAGGTATCTAGTTCCAAAAGTATCCACTAAGACGGCGCTAGTAATGCTAAAAGGAAAATATCCCCCCGAACACTGCCTGTTGTAAAACATTTCGTAGTCAACCCCCCCCACACCCTCCAACCTTGTCGTGTCCAGTCCTGTATATCTTAGTCCATGGTTATTATCTATGGTTATTATCTAAATTCGAGGGCTTATCAGTAGTGATAACAATATTACTATCAGAGTTTTCGGAATGAGTTATCGAATATTATTATTAATTATTGTAGTAGAACTGTCAATGAATCTTCTAATTTCTGAAACCATAAGGATTAATCTGTTTATTTACCTGCTTCAAGTGTCAATACCGCAGAATTTATGTTTATAATTAAATAGTCACCTATCAACTTTGAAATCGAAATAAGTACCAAGTCCTGTCTTAAATCTTGGGCGGGCGTTCAAGATTACTAACGAGTAATGATCATAAAATTCTGAACGATGATGATTGTGTCCACGTCAAGTCATTAACACTACAAGAGTAAAGTCCGTACACGACTCGATCGAATTACGAGATTATATTTTGCTTGTCAATTAACGTTTAGGTATAGATGTATTGCGACACCGTAGTTGAAATAATGTCATTGGTCAATATAACTTCATAATGTCGAATTTGAAACTGGAACTCGACGAGTATCTTAACAAAGGCCAAAAAAGTAAATCTCATAATGGACATCACGTACACATTCCAAAAGTGTTTAAGAAACTGCTCAACAGTGAATCGGGCGAACAAACGGAAAACCTGTTGGATTCAACACAGAAGACTTATTTTAATTTTCCCCAGATGGTAAGAAGATTTAATAATATACAATATTTGTTTGCTTTGTACTATACTTTTATATTTCAGTTGAATATTTGCATTAACTGTAATTTGATTTTACAGAGTAAAACCCAAAGAATATTGGGATTTGTAGTTTGCGTGTCAATAAGTTGTCTGATGTTCTCTCTGTCAGCATTATACTTGCCTGTACTACTAATAAAAGCTAGGAAGTTTGCAATTTTATATGCTTCTGGAAGCATATTCGCTTTTGCCAGGTAATCTATGACGCTTATTGTTTTCCAATAACTAATTTTTTAAACTTTATATGTCCCTAATGTGTCTATATATATATATTCAATTACTTGAGGAATTTATAATTACTATTTACTTTTTAGTTAAATAAATTTCATTCAAATATAATTTGAATTAGGTACCTTTAAATACACTTAGTACAGAGTAAGGGTACCTATGTTTTTTAACTTACCACGGAATGATTTGAGGAGGGATTGAGATGCAATAAGATTGAAAAGAAAGAAAAGTCATTTAGTTACAATATTACCATTTTTCAACCTAAATTTGGTTATCAAGTATATATCTCTTCAAAAAGTTGTTTATTGTTTCACACATATTATTTTTATTAAAACCATTTTGCATTTTTAGACTAATAATTTGTTGTATGAAATCTTAATTTGTACATTGTGTTTAAATGTAATTAAAGGCACATGTTCATAACATACATTATATTATAAATATTGCAAATGTTATTTTTTTAGTGTATCATTTTTGACGGGTCCATTGAATCACTACAAGTATGTTACGTCTAAAGAAAAGCTTCCGTTCATGTTTGGCTATATTACTACTCTTTTGAGTACTTTGTATTTTTCATTGTGGATGAAGAGTACTCCATTTACATTACTATCATTGACTGTTCATCTGATACTTATTTTTTGGTTTTTATTAAACTCTATACCATTTGGTCAAAAAGGTTTATCATTTTTTGGACGTATATGTTCATCCATAGTAAAAAATAAAGTGTCAAATTCATTACCTGTTTAAAAAAACTTTACCTATTATTTTTATTGTTTATTGTTACTATTGTGATTTTGTTCATATATTTATATATTGTTTTTTTTTCAATTAAACTGTTTTTGTAAAATTACAAAGTTATAATTAGTTTTTTTTTTTTTTTGTATTCTATGAAAGAAAGGTCTATTATAAATAAATTATTATATTATTACTAATGGTTAGGTTTGTGAAGTCTGTGTTCAGAATACATTTATTTGTAAAAAAAACATTAACACTTGAATATTATAAATTCATAAGGATAGGACATAGGAACAAGAGTTGTTCGCAATTTACTAAAAAACAATTTAACGTTACTGATGGTGACCAGTGATGATGGCCAAGCCTGAATTACTCTATACGCCAAGCCCCCCTCCCCCCTAATACAGCACAAACGCCAAATTGTTGAGAGAAACATATAAATTATACATACAAACAGAGAAATAGAATGATATGTAATACTTTTGCAGTAAAAAATCTACGAAAGAAAGTATTTGCCTGATAAACATTTTATAAACGCAAGATCTTCATTTTGAATCTTTGTCTGGTTCTAACACTAAGTCCTAAAGAATTGTTTTTACCAATAAATTACTACTATTATATTGCATTTTATTAATCTTGCAGATATTAATACAAATTATGATAATATTACATTTTATTTATGTAAACTCAACTTTTTTCGCTAGCAGCAACTGTAATTAGTGTAATTGAAAAAGTTCAAAAGACTCAAAAGCAATTTCTGTTTGGGTAAGAATATTTAATTGGTTCCATAATGTATCCATAATGTATCATATTAAGGAAATCTTAGAGCTAACAGTATAGTAAATTTTATAAGTCAGAAACAATTAATATAGACTGTTTTTGGAAATAAGTATAAAATGTTTAACCGCAACTCTGGGCGTCTCTGGCACATTGTTCAGGGATTGAAACTGAAACCGAAAGAACCGGTTCAGGGACTGGAACCTTAGGGATTTTTTTTTGTTTTTGGTTCCGGTTCTGTTCTTAAAAAAAAAAAAATAGTTGATTCCTTTTCATGAAACTACAAAATAGGGGTTATGATTAAATCTGGTTCTTAAAAATGCATTTTTTATTGATAAAAATTATTTTACTTGTATTATGAGGAAACAAAATTTTTTTGAAATGTTTTGATCATTATTTATTGTTAGAGATATTAGATATAGGAGACATATTATTGGGTTGACCCATGTTGAACTTTCCATTTTCCACTTGGACTATTTATACTATCAATGTTATCTATAATAATATTATTTTTATAAGTGAAAAATAAAATACAAAATAATTAAATTGTACTTATTAACTCATTTAAAATCAAAAATATATATATATACAATATACCTTCTATAATAGATGGTTTATTTGAAGAGAATTCCTTGTTTTAACCAACATTTTAAATATTCTTATAACTTGGGCCTATTATTAATTACAAACAATTAATCATAATATAATAAAAAAATAATAACTAATTAAAAAAAAAATTTAGATACCTACCTAAATTATTTTATTAAACTTAGAGGTTTTAAAAATAAGTTTCTTACTTAATCAAATTCATTTTCAATTATTTTTTAACATCCCGTCAATGAACATTCATCGTCATCACTGTCATCAAAAACACCATCACTAGAATCTATGAAATATAAAATTTGGTGTTACATTTCTTTTTGAACTTATTAATAATATTATATTATATAGGTACCTACCGGAAAATTCAGGTGCAGAACTATACTCAGGCTCGTTTGGAAGTTTCTTTGAATTTTGATAATTCTTACATTTTTAGTTTAAAATTTGAATGTCACATTTTCCGTTACGGACAAATCTGAAGTATTTTGCTCTTTCTATGCTATACATCTGATAGATGATTTGGCTTCATTATAAGAAACTAGAACATAATAAAACAATAGAGTTTAAAGTAACATTATTTAATAGTAATAGTGACTTAATAAAATTACAATATATTAACTAGGCACCTTTTGGTTTTTATTTTAATTCAATAAATTTATTCTTATTTTTAATATATTTTTTTGTCCAAGCCACTTATTATACTGAGATACCTATAGGGAGATACCTATACGCGTTCCCCGATTAATCGGTGCATATAATTATTTCCGTAGGTACCTACTGATTTCTGTAGACTCGTTTTGACGAAATGTCGTCAGACAACACTTTATGCACCCGTGAACGGCGACGCGAAGATGGTTTGATCGAATATCGAACGGCGCGAAGAAAAACATCGGACGACAGAGTTTCCCTCATAATACCGATGACCGAAACCAACGAGACGCAGGAATTACAGCGGTCACTATACCAAATTATATTAAATTATTTATGTTAATAATAACAATTAATTATTATATATGGGGGACGGAGTGGGTGAGCGGACTAAGGCGCCGGTTCGATACCTCGGCCATGGGTGATGGGTGGAATTTTTCTTCGGGCAAGTCAAGGTGTCCGGAGAACAAGTGCCGCCATCCCCCACCCGGGCATGGCAGATACCTACGGGTGCCCAAATCAAAAATTCTTCCTAAACAAACACACACGTGTTCCTCCCCCCACCAACAAAAACCTACAAACAAAACAAAAAAAATATCTAATGACCTAAGTTGCCGAGCTCAAACTTAATAATAAAAAAAAAAAAATTATTATTTATATAATTTTAGTATAATTTTTTCCATCGATTATAGTCTTAAGTGGACGTCTCTGTCTCCTTCTCACAAACGTACAACCATTGACCTGACCCCCCTAATAAATATATTGTTTATAGGGTTCGGGGCTGCTTGCATGTTTTAGTGTAGTGGTAGTAGGTTATTTTAGATAAGTTATTAATTTGTCTTCTGAAAATGTTTGTCTTATCAAACGAAGTTGAATTTGCATATTTTTGCATATTGTAGGAAAAGTGAACATTTGAGCGTATATATAGGTAATATTTGTGCATATTTTGAATTTTTTTAACTTAAATGTAGATACATACAATTGTCGGGAAAAATCATATTTGTATAACATTGAAAAATATCTTTAAAAATATTATGTTTGGTTAAGTACAAAAGGCGCTAATTTTGAGATTTGGGGAAGCCAAAGACTAAATTCATATTATTATAAAATTGAATAAGCTTAAAAAATTTTAGTAAATGTTTGGAAGGGCTTTTAAAGTTGTTATTGGAGCTATGGTACGTAAGATTTTATAAGTCTCTTTGTGACAAGACTGTGTTAAAACTATAATTGACATCTAGATTCAAGATTGTACGAAGAAATGAAAATCAGTAGATACGTGTTCGTTTAACACGGTGTTCACATATTACTTTATTCGTTATTACTAGGCCCGGATTTTTTATGCAAATGCATATTCTTCTACATTTGACGTATAATAATTCTGATTAAATATCTTGACGTTACGTAAAACGTAGATTCTACTGTTAATTTTTTATTTTGCATATTTTTTCATATTTGCATCAAAATGCATAATAATTGCATATTTCGGGGTAATTACATAAAATGTGCATATTTAATAAATACTTGATAAAATATTTTAAATTTTACTCAAAGTTTGATATATATGCCGATTTTTCCCGATCGCCGACGTTCCTGACAAATATAATTCATTATATTAAATTATTCAATGATTCAATGAGTATATAATATATATTATGGCCTGAAAAAGTATTGCATGACAAAGTGTTATTGTATGTCACAGACGCCGCTCCTTATATGGTAAAATATGGACATGCGCCAGTGCCGCTCTAACCACCAATAACGCCCTAGGGCAACAATATTTGACACCCCTCACCCTCCCACCAAAAAATCTCGACTTCGCATTTTTAGCTTATAATTAACCACATACCTTAAATATGTTTAATACTTATTAATTAAAGGTTCCTACTTATTTTTTTAAATATTATTATTGGAATCATATTTATTTTGTTTCTAGTTGAACACCGATTTCATTATTCTGGGAACACTCGTACATTACAGAAAGAAAATATATATAACTATTTTCACAAATTAGTACCTAGATTTCATTATAAATCATACGTTCTGCGTTTCTGCATGTGTAATAACAGTGTAGTATAACAGTCAACATTGTAAATTGCACAAGTGAATATAAGTGATTATAAAATTCAAAGGTGGGCATTAACTAGTTGAAAAGTTAAAGTTCAGTTAAAAAGTTAATTTTTTTTAACTTTTTAATCTAACTAGTTAGTTTATTTTCTAATCAACTTATGAACTTAAATAGTTTAATTTACAATTGAAATAACTTAGCTTTCTCAGTTGATTTAAAAAAATCCATTAAGTTAAAACATTTTGAAATTGTTCGTTTATACTTAAATATTACGAATTTCGAACGCTCATAAAAATTTAATTTGACTTTCTAATAGACATTTTTTTTTTTGATAAAGGTAGATAATCTTATAAGGAATCTTGTATTACATTTTCAAATCTTCAAAAAAAAAGAAAAATTTTTACGAATTCTTAACTCAAAATAATTTGCTAATTTTCGTGATTTTTCCATATTTTGTCAATTTTTGAACTTTAAATGCTTATAAAAAAAAATTGTGACTTAGGATTTTTAATATTTTTCATCTACCTTTGAAACAATATACTAGAAGCCTTCTTTTAAATTTTCAACTTTTCGCAACCAACAAATAAAATTTTATTGATCTTTTTATAAAAAAAACTAAAAAAAAATGGAAAATGAAAATGTCCCTAAACAGTTCAAAATAAATCAAAATATTTTGAAAATGTTATCGTGTATACAAAATGTAAATATAAACAACCAGTGAAAATTTCTTGTATATACGTTCATTTCTTTTAGAGTCACACCAAAAATCAAAATCGATTTTTTGGAAAACCGATTTTGCGTAAAAATTCCCGTTTTTCCTTAATTTTTATGTTGTTTTTCCCGGTGCTTGTGAAAACTACTGGGAAATTTTTACTTTTGACCCCCCCAAAGTACCAACTAGATTCACTTTCGGACTTTCCTA